AGAAGGGGAGGCTGGGGGACAAGGACTGTGTTGATCTCATCTGCCAGTCTGTAGAATGTCATGTGTTCAGTTGTCTCATCCTCGCCAACAGGACTCCTGGGACACAGAAGATGGTAAAATGTTATCCTGTACTGGTGCAATCCTTTGCTTGTCATCTGACTTAGGGAAAAGAAGGGGTTCAGCTCCCCTGGTTCAGGACATGAAGCAGTTGATCAGAGATCATTCATCTAAACCAGTGGTTCTCCATTTTCCTAATACTGAGACCCTTTAATACAGTTCCTCATGTTATGGTGATGCCCCCCCAACCATAAAATTCATTGCTACTTCATAACTGTAATTTTACTAGTGTTATTATGAATTGTGATGTTAACATGTGATGTGTAGGATATCTAACATGTAACCCCCGTGAAAAGGTCATTTTGCACCAAAGGGGTTGCGATCCACAGGTTGAGAACCACTGATCTAAACACTTAAGTAATTAATTTTGAAAAGTATCTTTAAGCTCTTAAATGAGGTAAACATACGGAGAACACAGAACAGCAATGCGTTTCTTGAACTGGAACTCATCTATAAGCCTTCAGGAGTCAACCCAAACTGGGTCACTCTTCCCATTTCTGGGTGTGGGGAATTGTCACAAGTATAATACATTTAACTCTGGTTTGAATGTGAAGTGCCCTCTACAGGTTCATGTGTGTATGGATGCAAGCAGGTAACTTTGCTGTGGAAATTTGAGGGAATTTTGGGACATAGGTCCCCAAAGTGGATATTATAGGGGTATGGCCTAGTCCGACTTCCAGCCTGAATTCCATTTACTACATGAGCTGATAAGATGTCGACAATCCACACCCCAGTCACTCACTGCCATGGCTACTCCAGTTCCGATGCCTTGCCCACTCGGAAGAACCAGACCCTCTAAACTATGAACCACAGTAAATATCCCTCTTTTAGGTTGTTTCTGACAGGGATTTTGTCCCCAGAACAGGAAGAGTAAACCATGAAGATCTTGAGTACGCTTTCTCCACTTCTCTGGGTCTTTTCTCCAGCAATTTATTTTTTGAGATGGGCACCTGAATGGGGAAGGGGTGGGCTAAAAGGGCATTATAACCTACTGCAGACACTGCTCCAAGTCAGCTTTTCAAAACACAACAAAATGCAGTTTCTTAGGTAAGGCCTGTGGCAGAATTAATCTATAGCCTCAATTTTCCTCTATCTTTGTTGATGTTAGCAGGGTGTTTTCTCTAGCGAGAACGTCCCAGCTGGCATCCCTGAAGGACTGTCTCACAATGACATCCCAGTGAATTGCACCTCCTCAATGCGGGGGCCAAGAGCTGGATAGACCCTCCCTGGTGAGTACCTTGGACTCCTACAATTCCATTGGTCCTCCGTTTCTGCATATTCACTGAGGTTTCCAATATCATAAAGCTTTCATAAACATGTCTTATGGGACTGGAGAGAGAGCTCTGCAGTCAAGAATGTTCATTGTTCTTGCAGTAGGACCTGTGTTGAGTTCTGAGCAACTACATCTGGACACACACAACCTCCTTTAACTCCACCCCCGGGACATCGCATGCCCCCTTCTGGCCTCGGTGGTCACTGCACACACCTGGCAAACATACACATTTATAAATAAAGAATGAAATAAGAAAAAAGAATTAGTGTAATTACAAAAATGTACTCAAAATGGTATTAGGCATTTTGAAGGAGGTGGCTTTCCCAGAATCCTTTCCACAAATCACAATAGACAGGAGCTATACAATTGCATGAGATTCAATGCACCGATGGTCTTTGCATCGAGGTCGAGTTTCATCCCACTGCTTTTAATGTGATTCTTAAAAACTGATAATCTTGCAGGGATCTTTGTCCAGATGACCTTTAATTCAGAGAAGCTGGTGTTTGTAGAGAATAATGTAGTCATTTTACAAACACTTGTTCAATATACACTGTCATTGTTCCCCATAAGGTCTTTAGAATCAACTTCTCACTGTATGTATTGTGCAAATTAGAAACGTACTATTATCTATACAGATCTAAACAAAGTGATTCAGAGAAGCATGGAAAGTGATACAGTGAGGAATTGAACTCCGTATTCCCTTTCAGGAGAGTATGTGCTCCTTCTCCTCCAGCTGCAGCATCTGCTCCTGTAAACCTTCTGGCTCCTGGGATGGTGTGAAGAAGACTGCTCCTTTGCTGCACCATGCAGGGCTGTGGTACTTCTTAACTCACCAAAACGTGTCAAAGATCCACTCTGACAATTTCTGTCCTTATTCTCCCCCCTCACTTTTATTCATCACTGCATCTTTAGAGGATGGCAAGTTTAGCTTGGTCTGGGTTTCTGCTCTGACATCGTACACTGGGACCGTGGAACACTTCATCATTGCCCTGAGTAGAGCTAGTTTGTCCTGTGTCAGAGAGATGCTGGGGCATGTTGCTTCTATGTATGACTTGACGCTTGCGATCTCATATCAGGGGTCTGTGTACTGAGCCAAGAAAGCAATAGTTCCCACTCCCCCATGCTTACGTTTGTTTTGACTTGCAGCTTGTTCCCTCACTTTCTGTAATTCCATGGAATTTGTCTTGTCTCTCTTACCCAGATTGGAAACATCTCAAACAGTGATTGGGTCTTTTTATTGTGTGACACAAATTAGGCACTAATTAATGTGCAGCAAAATGAATGAAGGAAAAAAAAATAAAATGAACATAGTATCAAGCTAACTCCTAATGACTTATCATACACATAGATCAATGCTTCATCATACAAGTTTCTTTTTGCAGCAGATTGTGATTAATAGAGACCACAGCTGACCGACCAAATGCACAGAGGATAAGAAACTGAAGAATTCTTAGCTCTAAATGAGACATTTTTATCACATCCCATACCTTTGGGCTCAGAGATCTATTTGGGACGGGTGGGGGAACGTATAAAAGCCAGAAGTAATGGATGACTGTAATGCAGCCATGTCCTCAAGACTTGAGACACAGCAGGGTGTACATGAACTCATAGCGATTGTGACAGCATGTTCAACCTCAAGCCAGGGCAAATTCCAGCACAGAGAATAGAGGTGAACGGGAAGTCTCACCCCCAGCTGATGAGTCATTTGCAGTTGATAGCTTCTGGGAGAGGGAACCAGTTTTCTTTGCTCCAAGGTAAGTCAGTCACACTCTAGAGGAAAATCACACATCCAAGATGATATGGTCACATCCTGGACTTGATGGGTAAAAAGCAAAACAAAACAAACAAACAAACAAAAAAAAACAGGACACAAAGTTGGATGAGTCAGGGGAGAGTGGATCTGGGAAGAGTTGAGGGAGGAGTGAATATGGTCAAAACTCATTGTCTGAAATTCTCAAAGAACTAAATAAGAAAGTGAATGTAGCCTCCCCGTTGCCTGGAAAAGGAAAAGCTGTAGAGTGTGGGTTGAAGAGACGAGCTCCCTCCATCTTGAAACGCTGTCAGTCAGATTTATAATCCTGTTGTGGTTGTGTGGTGCTTTTATGGTCACTGAAAAACAGTCCTTTTTACTAACATCTCTTTAGCACCAAAATGTGCTTTGTATTAAGATGGTGTATAAGGCATGTGTCCCAGCTACGGGCTATGCATTCACAATCTGTTCTCAGGGTGATTTCTACCCCACAGGGATCTTCTCATTAGAAATAAGGGTGTGTGGTGTGTGTGTGTGTGTGTGTGTGAGAGAGAGAGAGAGAGAGAGAGAGAGAGAGAGAGAGAGAAAGAGAGAGAGAACTAAGAAACATGAAGGTGTGTGACTACGAGCTCAGACAGCATGGAGTTCAAATTCCACCTCCTCTATTCCTGCCTGGGCAATGTGAGCGAACAGCCTAATACTCTTAATCTACACAATGGAGACCGCAGAATCTTACTCTTGTGGACACTTTTATGTTTTTAAACTCCATTTTTCCACAGACAACATGGAGGTAAAATGGTACTTGACAGACAAATGTGTCTGTAGGACTAATATAACAAGAATAATCATCTAAGAGGGTACCTAAAATTTAATAAGCAACTAAACACATTCCTTTTTCGTTTCAGAGTATGATTTCTGCACATATCCAAGTGACAGGCCCAGAGACCGCTCCTCTTCCCTCCTTAGGTTGACATTCCCGTCTTACACAGGACGTTAGTGAGGCTGCAAACACCGTGGTGGTCTGGAGGGTCTTGTACTTGTGTTGGCAAAATTTTGAGGGGAAGGGGAGTAACTCAGTTGGCCAAAGCCTTGCTAGGCATGTGGGAAACCCTGCATTTGATCTGCAGCCCTATGTAAAACCCTGAGTGTGAAGGTCCTGCAATCCCAGCCCTCGGGCTAGAGACAGAAGAGTGCAGAGTTCAAGTTCATCCTGTGCTACACAGTATGTGGGAGCCTGGCCTAGGATTTATGAAGTTTTGTCTTCAAAAGTTTCTTATTTCAGGACAGTCAAAGCTTCTTGTGAACATCATTGTGTGAGATTACAGGGCAGAGTAATTGGAATAAGATATTAGTTATAGATATCGTATAGATATAAGATATCACATAGATATTAAAAAGAATTAGAAAATAGCTATAAAATAAATACATACGAAAGAATAATATTCTCCATAACTTTTTATTGATTTAGCTGGAAAAGATAAATCCATATATTTAAATATATTATATATAACATATGTATGCATGATATGCATGTATATATATGTATGCAGAATGTGCATATTCCAAATATAATGACATATATGGTATATAACCTGGCATATATATCAAAATACCTCAAGGCAATTACTTCCTTGTGACCTACTGAGCTATAACAATACACTGAAAACTTGCTATTTTACTCTTGAGTGGGTAAATTCATAGAGAAGAAGGAGAGGGAAACAATAGCTGCTAATACAGGAAATTTTAGAGCCAGCCAAGAGGCGGTCAGGACTTCCTCCTGCCATGCCATTGCGGCGGGACCACAGCTCCCAAGTTGTGCAACACCTTCAGTAAACACTTGCTCATGCGTACACAATGAAGCAGGGAGTTTCACTCTGTCTCCCTTAAGAGGAGGCTGGGGCAGAAGCAGCCTTACAGGTGTGAGCGGAGGCAGGCGCTGCTCCTGGGACCGCAGCATGTTGCAATGGAGTCTTCTGGTAGTCTCTTTCCTCCTTTCTCCAGTTCCAGGTAGGTGTTAACCCTTCTCTGGGCTCTGTTCAACGTGTCTCAGGACCGCATGCTATTCAGCCGCTCCTAGTCATAGGTATATAATACACTGGATAGCCGTTTCTTCCCCTTTGCCAGTTTTACTAGCCTTTTGGGCTGGTTTTAAGCTGTGGTTTGAAGGCTGTGATGGATGTGAAAGAGGGTAAATAGAGGTTTGTGTGAAGCATTTATTTTCAGCTGTTACCTTAAAAGAGAAAAGGAAGCTCTTATATTTATATTTAAACCATGAATATGATCTTTGAATCAAAACCAAAAAACAAACAAACAACAGAAAACCACAAAGCTATCAAAACCAATTGTGTTAATTTTTAGTTCAAAATTTGAGTGCTTACGCCCATCAAGGATTTGAGAAAGTACCTGCTCTTGTAATTCAGCAACTTAAAACACTTTGAACAGCACGTTTTTAGGCTCAGTGGTAATGGATACAGTTAATTGGCAGGGTACCATGCTCAATTTTGTGAGAAAGCATTGTGATGTTATTGGTGAGGAGGAGTCTCAGACAGGTGTGTTGATAACTTTCCCTTACAGTGGTTACAGCAGACACCTAAGAATTTGGATGCAGTGAATTCTTCTTCATAACACATTCTAGCAAGTAGGTTGCACCATTTAAAAAATTCTCCGCTTAGACAGTGGGGCTGATCTATTGTGAGCTCACCAAGGCCAGCTGGACTACGACTGAAAAACCATGGGATAAAACCGGACTCTCTGAATATGGCGGACAATGAGGGCTGCTGAGAAGCCAAGGACAATGCCACTGGGTTTTGATCCTACTTCATGTTCTGGCTTTGTGGGAGCCTAGCCAGTTTGGATGTCCACCTTCCTAGACCAGGATGAAGCGGGGAGGACTTTGGACTTTCCACAGGGCAGGGGACCCTGACTGCCCCTCAGACTGGAGAGGGAGGGGAAGAGGAGTGGGGGGAGGGGGAGAGGAGATGGAGGAAGGGGTAAAAGGGAGACGGGGAGGGAAATGGGAGGCGGGGAGGAGGCAGAAATCTTTTTTTTTTCAATAAAAAATTATATTTAAAAAAAATTCAGAAGTATCCATAAAGGTACAGAATTGTATCAACATAAATGAGGATCAAATGAAGAATGGAAAGTATTACATGATACATTTGATATTTTGTATGAAAAGAAACTACATACTATACATGATACCATATGGATGAAGATTATAATCATTATATTAGCAAATAAACCAGATATAAAATGTAAACAACAACAAAAAAATTCTCCGCTTAGGCTCGCACGCCTGGGACCTGACAACACATTTCTCTAGCTTCTCTGCGTCTGTGTCTGGAGCTTGAATCTTCATCCTAGCTGGCAAATGTTTTACTGGATCATGGAATGTTTGCTGGGACCCAGGAGTAGTGAATGAATGGTGAACAGAAGTGAGGGTCAAGCACAAAAAGATTGTCCTCCTCAGTAGTCCTCATTGTCCGCTATGTTCAGCGAGACCGGTTTTATCCCAGACTTTTTCAGACCCAGGCCAGCTGGCCTTGATGAGTTCCCGATAGAACATCCCCATTATCTTAGTGTGTGGGTGCACCCCTTGCGGTCCTGAGTTCCTTGTTCAAGCTCTCTCTCTAGACCTGGATGGAGGTGGGTGGTCCTTGGACTTCCCACAGGGCAGGGAACCCTGATTGCTCTTTGGGCTGACTAGGAAGGGGGACTTGATTGGGGAAGGGGGAGGGAAATGGGAGGCGGCGGTGGGGATGAGACAGTAATCTTCAATAAACAAACAAACAAACAAACAAATAAATAAATAAAAGCTTGTCCTCTTCCCCGACCCGCTCTGCACCTTCTTACTAAAAATGGCTTCTCCTTTGTTTCTCAAGACTTGTAAAAAGTGTACTCAACACCCTTGAATTTTAGGATACTATTATATTCTTAACTATGTGAGCTCCTGGCTTAAAATTCCTATTTGGATTTGCAGAAATTGAAGTGTTTGTAGGGATTCCTTCCTCATATTTCTGAAAACATTGTCCCCAGTGCTGTTGGGGACATCACTCTTAGTAGGAATAGAACTGTTTGGGAGTCAGCTCTGCTCAAGGGGAGAAAGATTCAGCAGATCCAGTGACAGTCTCACGGGTGATGGGGGTGCATGCATGCTTCTGTCATTTCAGGGACATCCGGTAGAAATCTACATCAGAACATGGCAGCAAGAGATGCAAAGTCTTAGAATCCACCCTAGAAGTCTGACGTCATTCTGGTTGGAAAATCAATCCTTACTGGGAGTCTAGCAAGGGTTTTCCAGCCAGAATGCAAGAAACAAAAGATTTGTTTTCTTACCTCTTCCTCTTTATTTCTCCCTCCACATCCTTTGTACTCCATGCATGTGCCTTCTGGCCCTATCTTTTACCTGGTTCCACTAAAAATAAAAGAAAAATATGTAAAATTGGGCCAGATGCTTGTAATGAACTTCACTGTTCCCTGAGAAAAGTGACATGGGATTTCATCATAGGAAAAGTAAAAACACATATTTAAAAAGACACGGAAAATGTTTAGGGGAAGAGGTAATAAATTAGTGCATTGACAAAAGACAAATCTCCATCTCGTTTGTCTAGGGATGCAGTGGCTTTAAAAATACATTTATTTTAACTAGCAGTTATTTCTGGCCTTTATAAAGTGACTGGAAAAAGTAAGCTATTATTCACAATTTAACCTATATAGCCAAATAATAGACTCCCTTAGGATATGGGCTCTAGTTTCCCCCTATACTCACTTTTCCTGAATAATGTTCACAAGTTCAAGAGTCTGAGGGGGACAGAGAGTCAATGTCATAGCATAAACTTGTGTTAAAGGCTTGATGCCTCATTTGGAAAGACAACCCTGACACAATTTCTAACAGAATTGGAGCAACATGCAGATGCCAATATTATGCACAAATGGTCCCCCAAACGGACCCAGCTAGAACAGCATTCTAGAATGAGGTCGGCCATGTCAATTTCATTAGTGAGTCCTGCTTTATTTTGAACTAACAGTGAAAATAGTCTGATCCACAACCACAGACTCGCACCTCTAACTCAAGCCAAACTGACTGCCTTCTCTCTCTTGATCCAGTTTTGCCGGTCAACACTAATTCAACACATGAGTTCTGTGGGAGAGAGAAAGCAAACAAGCATTCAGACAAATTTAATAGAAACATATTGTGTTACGCCTTGGATTTGTGTAATCCCTGGATGGCTGTTAGCTAGCTCTGTTTATGCCACTGGCTTCTAAATAATGAACTTGATTTTATTCACCTGGGAGGAGGCTGCCTCCTCGCCATCAAATGAGAGGATGCGTGAGGCAAACAAGATCTGTGTCTACTCCATTCCTTTCCATGCTGTGGAAATCCCGGCACCTCAGACATCCTATTTCTAGGGTCTTCTAGCTTTCGGGAGAAGCAGAGAAATCCTATCTGTCTTCTTTAGAGTACGGACTGTGTTGCAAGAGTTTGGAATGAACTGGAAACTTAGCTTATTTTATATAGCTAAGCGAAGTTGCTAAAGACTTTAAAAAGATACACTTTTGTTTGTTTGGGTTTCTGCTTGGAAGTGCCTCCCCATCGAAGAGTGGGTTGGAAATAAATTTCGTGAGTAGTATACACTGCGCTGAGTCCAAAGTTAAGAACGAGTTGGTGGCTTTCTGTTTCGTGAAGTGTTAGGCTTTCAACTAACTGGAAGTGTGTGTTCAATGCATAGGGCACCCAAAAGTGCTTGCTGTTGGATGGGGTGACCTAGTTCCCTGTTCACTTTCTCCCCAAAGAGAAGTGGGGCTGTTGTCACATTCGCTCTATAGGAGGGTCAGGTGGATATTGTCATCAATTTATGACTCAAAGGGTTTCCTGTTAGAACCACACGTGTTGGGGATGAGCCCAAACGATATGACCATTTGTCACAAAAAAAAAACCCAACAAAAACAAAAAACAAACAAACAAAAAAAACAAAAAACAAAAATAAAACAACTAAAAAAAAGTTTATCTATGTGGGTGCTTTATCCTTAGGAAGAGTAACTTAAACACTGTGCCATTGCTACAATCCTCCAATATGTCATTTAAACAGTTTAAAAAGTTATTTCTACTTTGTAATTGTGAGTTTGTGAGGCTCTCTCTCTCTCTCTCTCTCTCTCTCTCTCTCTCTCTCTCTCTCTCTCTCTCTCTCTCTCTCGGTATGTGTGTGTGTGTGTATGCAGAATGCAGGTATCTGTGCATGCTCTGAAAGAGCAACAGAGGCTCCAGAACTAGAGTTTCAGGCAGTTGTGATAGGAAGTGAATTTGGGGTCCTCTGAAAGGGCAGGAAGTGCTCTTAACTACTGAGCCATCTCCCCAGCCTCACCCCTCCCCTGGTATGGCATTTAAAGAAAAGAAGTATTGTTTCTCGAGTATTAGTGAGAGATGGCTTCATAACTCAACATTCCCAGACTAATTGCGACGATTAGACACCGTAATACACCAGGCAACACACTGTCACCGTATGGCGTGCTTGTTCTGTGCCAGTGAATTAAGAGCCTGCAGGGAATTGTTCCCATGCCATTAGCTCACTTCTGGCAAGAGCTGTTTCTTACCTCTTGGCATCTCACTGCTCTGAAGTAATCACAAAATTTTAGCAGGCGAGAATGACCATCCCATGTTTTAGAACATTAAAATATTATTTTTGTGCACAATACTATTACTTTTTCCACTGGCATTGAAATGAATTGTGCATATGTTTAATAAAAGTTTGTATTTCATTTCATAGAAATAAAAAGCACAATGATTACCTCATGACTGCAAGAAACGAGCAACCCAAGAATCTTGTGGACTGGGATTAGAGATGTAGGTAGGGAAGCCCAGCTTTGGGATCTGGAAGTAGAAGGCTCTTGAATTTGAGGCTAGCCTAGTGGGGCCTGGAAAAAATGAAGAACAAACAAAAAGACAAAAAAAAAAGAAAGAAAAAAACCTTTGTATTACTATAGAAGCACGATAAAGACTTACTTGTCACAGCTGATGAAAATGTATTTTAATGAGCGTGGTCCTTTTGAATACATTATAGCGGTTTGTGTTTGTTTGCGTAATATTCTAGACTACTTGGACATGTCTTAATCTTCTTTCACTTTCCAGGCAGTTAAAATTTTCCACATCTAAAATTAAGATGTTGTAGTATCTGCACATGACTTTAAATGTTTTAATTTCTTTACATATTTTACATTTTTGTGTAAATGGATATTTTGCTTATATGCATGCCTGTATCCACTTACAGGCCTGGTGGCCAAAGAGGCCAGAAGAGGACCTCAGATTTTCTAGACTAGAGCTACCCACATTTGTGAGTTGCTTTTCTCCTGTGGGTGCTGAGAATAGAACCTCGGTTCTCTGCCAGAGCAGCCAGAGTTCTTAAATGTGGAGCCACCTCTTCAGCCTTAGCTTTGTTTTTGAAATGTATTCAGTAAACAGCAAGCTATGGAGAGAAAGCATCTTTCCTTCATTATCTTAATTGCTATTTTGACTCTGAGTGCATCCTTAGGGCTTATGAGCTTTCCTAATCTCCTGGGTTAAATGGTTCTTGTGCGGCCAAATGAACTAAAAACATTCCAAACCGACATCACTAGAATTTTTTTTTAACTTTTTGCTTCAATTCTCCTGAAAATAAAATGCAAAGGAATTAATGCTTATTCTCTAGAAGTCATTGCGCTAAGCTGTCGAGTGCTATCCTGCCTGGTGAACTCTGTCATTTATGTCTGCTGTTGGGTGGGCAATAGTAGTACTGGTTTATCTAACCGTAAGTGCTTGATCAGAGAGCTAGGTTTGCCCTCAGAGAAACTCCAAATAATGACACAGAGAAGAAAAGGAAGCTTTTTTTTTTTTTTTAGACCCTGATGCAGGCATCCCGCCTCTGTTCTCTGAGCTCCACTGGGTCTTCTTCCCAAGTGGGCCTTTAGGTACCTAGAGCAGCCAGAGTGGGACATTTCCTCCGGAGGTACCCGCGGAGAGCTGGGACCACACCATGTGGAGAACAAAAAGAAAAATTAAAAATATGGAAAGCTCTGGATTTCTCTTTAGCCTAGTTTCCAGAAAAGGCTTGGGCCTGAGCCTCTGAGATGGGAATTGGTTGTTTGAGGTGACTCTCTATTTTCCTCGCGGCGTGAATCTGACCCCCCACCAGCTCTGCCCAGATCAGTGCCTCTGTTTAGATTCTCTACTTTTCTAATTTTCTTATTTTTCTATGCCAAAAATGAAGGCTTGTCAGGACTGCTCATGATAGCCCTTTCTTTGATCCTAGCATCAGAGCATTTTCTCACGGGGACGATGTTTTAAATATTACTATTGAAACTTCAAAGGAGCATGCATTTTGATCAGAAAGGATGTGCATCTGATTTCATTTTCATAGCAGCGAGGTCTTGGAGTATTTCTATTGTGTTATCATGGGAGTAACCAGCATCCACGGGAATGGAATGCTGCTTAGCTTGTACTTGTCTCGCTCTCCTCCTGTAGAGTCACTGCCCAGATCCAAAAGGGTAAAAAGAAGTGGGAAAATTAACAAAAATGTCCTCAGAGAGACATTTGGAAACACCTCCCTGAGGAATACCAAAGGACAGAGATTAAATATTGGGGTGGGGTGGGGAATGGGTTTCTAGTGTTCTCCAGCTTTCCCTGTGTCAGGACACAAATCGCTGAAGGGCTCTGTGTGGCATCACCAATCATGGTGGCCACTTCTGAACAGCTGGTTCTGTCACACAGCTTTGTCTTCTCTTCCTTCTTTCTCCCCCAGCAAGTGCAGCCAAAGAACTCCCTAAGGACAAGAATTATGAAGTGGTTTATCCCATAAGACTTCACCCATTGCGCAAAAGAGAGACCAAAGAGCCAGAGCCAAAGGTTAGTACGTCTGTGATTGTCTTCTTTCTTGGACATGTAGTCTATGTGTATGCCTGGGCACATATGTATACATGCGAGAACATGTAGGGGAGGCCATAGTCATACTTTTTTCTTTTTAAAGATTTTATTTATTATGTATAAAATACAGTGTGCTGCCTCCATGTATGACTACATGCCAGAAGAGGGCACTACATCTCATTGTAGATGGTTGTTAGCCACCATGTGGTTGCTGGGAATTGAACTCAGGACCTCTGGAAGAACAGTCAGCATACTTAACCTCTGAGCCATCTCTCCAGCCCTGGTCATAGTCATTCTTACATTGTCTGTCATGGTATACACTTTGTTGAGAGTCTCAATGAACTGGGACACTCTCATTCACAATTAGGCTGGCCAGTGAGGATCTACCTGTCTCCATGTATTTTTGGCTGGGATTAGAAGCATGGACCATCATGCCAGGCTTTTTAAAGAGTTGGGTTCTGGGCAAGGAACTTAGGCTCTAATGCTTACATATCAAACACTTTACCAACTGAGCATCTCCCAGGTAACTCTTCTGGTTTTCTCGATGACTCTTGAATACACATACACATACACACATGCACACACACACACACACACACACACACACTTGTGTTTTTTTATATACTCACATATGCATATTTATTACTTTGGAGACCAATGGTATTAACTGTTATATTAGTTTGTTTTCCAAGTTTTTAATTTTCACTATAGCCCAAAGTTCTTCTTACTTCATTTTATGCATTAAGATTCTGATAAGTGATATGTGTAGTCACAGAATACATACTTTGATATTTTATAATAATTTATGCTGTAGGCTTCCAAATAATTATATATAACTTACAAATTCTACTATTTACCTATCTGCCCACACACATAATTATTGCCTTAAACTAGATTCTAAACCAGAATCAGAAAATAAATATTACAAAACATTATAAATTAGCATTTTGTCTGAAATTTGTACCTTTTCTATGTAGAAAGCATTAAATTTTGTATAATTCTTATATTGTAATGAAATAACACGTTGTCAGGAAGCAGTAGCTCAGATTTTTAATTAGTCACAAGAAGAAAGTTAAAACATGATATGCAGATCTGGGCATGGCAGTGCACACTTGTAATTTCTGGGGTTTATCTATATGTTTGTGAGTTGGATATCAGCCTGGGCTATATAGTGAGTTGTGGGCCATCCTGAGCTATACTTAGAGGGCCTATCTGCAAAGTAAAATATGATGTTCCATTCAACAACAACATTTTAATTATATACGTTCTGCAACATTTGATGAGAGTCAGAAACACAGAGATAGATGGGATGTCAGTGATAACTGAAAACATCTAAAATGCAACTACTCAGGAGTGCATATTCCCCTATCAGAAATTTCTTCATTCAGTTTCTTCCAACTCCAATTGGTGCTAGCAAAACTCTTAGTAGACTCTGTGCACCAGGCTTTTTCCTTTTGCGCCACCAACCAGCTCCCAAATCATGACATGGCGATGTCTTTTTAATTATGAATGTTTGTTCTAGCTTAGGTTCATTTCTGGCTAGCTCTTTAAGGTAAATTAGCTTGTTTCTGTCTACCTTTTGCCTTGTTTTTTTAACTTTCTTTCTTTCTTTCTTTCTTTCTTTCTTTCTTTCTTTCTTTCTTTCTTTCTTTCTGTCTTACTTTCCTGTTTCCTCTAGTGTCTGTCTGTCTTGTGACTTCCTGGCTTCCTGCCCCTGGGGCTGAGGGCTTTCTTTCTCCCTTATTCTCTTCTCTTTCTTGTTCTCTCTTTCTCTCAAGCCTAGATTTCTCCTCCTGCTTATTCTCTCTGCCCACCAATCCTGCCTATCCTTTCTCTGCCTAGCTATTGGTTATTAAACTTTGTATTAGTCAAATCAGGAGCCTTAGGTAGGCAAGGTGGAAACAGCAACACATCTTTCCATAATTAAGCAAATGCAGCATAAACAAATATAACACAGCTTTACACAGATAAGGTAAAATTCTTCATCATAAACAAATGAAACACATCTTTACCTAGTAATTGCCACAACAAGTCTTTCCCAAAGCATCTTTATCAGGAAAATGTCCCACCAACTCTGATGGAATCCATCTGCAGCAGAGTCTTCCTCAAGGAAGTTTTCTTCGAATAACTTCTTTCAATGTCAGCTACATTTTTGTCTAAGTGTTTTGAGGAAGTTTGAACATAGGTAAAGTGAGTTTATCACAGCTATGAAACGATCACAAATCAAGCTTTTATTTCAAATTTATATTTCGATATGAAACCATAGATTATTTACTGGCTGCGGTAGATGGTCAATGAGTTCTTAAGTTATTTATACATTTGTGCCATTTGCCTGTGTGTATATATGTGCAAGTGCAGGTAGTTACCTGTAAGGGTCAAAAGAGGTCATCAGACACCTTGGAGACGGAGTTACTGGTTCTTGTGAGCCACCCTTCTTATGTGTTAGAAGCCCCACTGGGGTCTTCTGAGAGAGCAGCAAGTGCTCTTAACAAATAAACCATTCCTCCAGTCTCACAATTTTGATCATTAGAGTGGTTTTGCAGAGGGATGTGTATGATGTTGTGTGCTTGTTGTTACTGCAGACACATTGCTTGTCTAGGCTAACTCTGAACAGCCACACAAGCCTTATATTATTCTGATATATGGTGACCAAGTGGCAAGGGTGAGTGTGTGTTCACGTTTAGCTTTGCTAATTCTGTTTGAAAACTCTGACTTTAAATAATCCTCTGTCTTCAAGAGCATAATGGTGGTGCTTATACTGTGTAGAAAATAGAAGATTTAACTTATGCAAAGTGAAGTAGATTGAAAATAACTACTCTACCTGTGGTACCCAAGGTATCACATGCATTATGACACATTTTCAAGGGTTTTCTGGTTTCTGTGAATGGGCTCTTTTCTCTTCTTCTTCTTCTTCTTCTTCTTCTTCTTCTTCTTCTTCTTCTTCTTCTTCTTCTTCTTCTTCTTCTTCTTCTTCTTCTTCTTCTTCTTCTTCTTCTTCTTCTTCTTCTTCTTCTTCTTCTTCTTCTTCTTCTTCTTCTTCTTCTTCTTCTCCTTCTCCTTCTCCTTCTCCTCCTCCTCCTCCTCCTCCTCCTCCTCCTCCTCCTCCTCCTCCTCCTCCTCCTCTTCCTCCTCCTCCTTCTCCTTCTTCTTCGTGACATCAGTTATTTGAAAGTTAGTGTTAGTGCTGTCTTTTTCGCTCCTCGCCAGTGCTTATGTCTGACTCTCTACCCTTTCTTGTGGATTCTTTGCCACTTAAATGTTTACACACACACACACACACACACATGGACGCACATGTGTGTGCGCGCACACACACAAACATTTCTGTCTCTCTCCCTCCCTCTGTCTCGATCATTGTATATATTCTGTAAAGTCATTGTGGTATATTTATGTGCAGACTAACAGGATCATTTCCTGAAATCACACTTCATGGCTTGTCTTACACAATTTAGTTCTTGATTCTAAAATAACGTTGGTTTTACAAAATATAGGGTGGCGTGTGCATATGTGTACATGTGTCTATGAGAGTAAAGCAACCTTCCCTTCTAGTTTGAAGCTATTTACTTGGGTATTTTAATTTTTATTACATCTATTTGTTTAGTACATATATATGTGTGTATGTGCGTGTGCATACATACATGAATATATATATATATATACACACATATATACAAATGTGGGGGGTGCTCATGGCATGATGCTTATGTGAAATTCAGAGTGGAAAGGCAGGAGCTGCTTCATGCTTTCATTCACTAGTGACAGAGTTCAGGTTGCTAGGCAACCCTTCACCCACACGTAAGGTGGCCCTAGTTAAAGGCACTTTCTAAGTCTTTAGCATATCCCTACACTCCCACCCCCTCATCCCATCCTCTAACCTATGTTCCAGAATGTAAATATTTGTTTCCATAAACACTTGGTGATCCAAATAAGGCCTTGCCAAGCATATCAAGACTATATATAAAGATAGCAGATAAGGGGCCTAGAATGGAACTCAGTGATAGAGTCCTTAGCCAGCATTTCCAAGATTCTGGGGTCAGTTCTCAGCACACACTCACACATGTACACACATGCACACACAGAGCTTATTTGTCTGTTTAGTTGGTGGATTGATCTATTGCACAGGGTAGAGACCAGTGGTTCTCGACCTTCCTAGTGCTGTGACCCTTTCATACAGTTCCTTTGGTTGTGGTGACCCCCAACTATAAAATTATTTTTATTTCTACTTCCTAACTACAATGTTGCTACTGTTATGAATTGTAATGTAAATATTTCATATGTGGGATATCTGATGTGTAACCCCCCAACAGAGGGGTCATGACCCACAGGTTGAACACTTCTTGATAGACAGTTGGTCTCACAGTACACTGCTAGAGAAATCAAGCATTACTTAATAAAGATTACATCTATAGAAATTGCCACTGGTTGATCATAAATAACTCTTGGTGTATTTTTTGCAGGAAGCATTTGAAACTGAGCTAAAGTACCAGATGACAATCAACGGAAAGGTGGCGATCCTGTACTTGAAGAAGAACAAGTGAGTATGTGTCCAGCTGCTGCTGTCCTCCCTCGCGACAGGCTACAGTGGGAACGTGTGCCAGCAGGGGCCGTCATAAGCTTTAGTGCCTCCAATTCTTGACCCTCCAGCCTTCACTCCCAATGAGCCCAAGGAGCCAGCCAATGTGCTTTTCTCTTGAGTGGTAGAAAGACATTAGGTAAATTAATAGTTTACTAGGCTTTTGAAACTTTGTAAGTAGAACCCAACAATGAGGTGCAAGAAGACAGGTTAGATTGTTTTACCAAGGACTGGAGTGGTTCCAATATAATTTGCTTTGAGTTTTGCTTGTTTGTCCGTTTGTGTGCTTGAGAGAGGGCCTCACATTACTGTCCTTTAGAAAGGACTGGGGCAGGGGGGAGGCGGGTAATGCTATGTCTTTGTGCCAAACTCCTTGCAGGAACTGCTTTCTACCACCTTTGACCTCGGTTCTGCTTCTTCTCAAGTTTCTCCTGGGAATAGCAACCAAGTCCCCTGTGATGAGGGGCTTTTTCCACAGCCCTCTGGAATGTTCCTGCCCCCACCCCCTGCTCCCTAGCCCTCCGGCCTGACCAATGTGAGCAGTGCTTTCCTGTGTAGACTTGTCGGGCATGTAGGGGAAGCTGAGGAGTTAACACTTGTTTTCACAGCTTGGGAAGGCTTATTCGTTTGCTGGACTTTCACAGTTGACATGTGTAACCACGCTCTTCCTTTTTCTTTCTCCAGCAAGCTCCTAGCACCAGGCTACTCGGAAACATACTATAATTCCAGTGGAAAGGAGGTCACCACAAGCCCACAAATCATGGTAAAACAGCTCCCTAGTCCCTTAATATTGCATTGCACCCTGCAGGCTTACCTCCAGTGTCCTTGCCAGGCAAACAGGGCTGGAACTGCTTTTGCACTCTTGGTCTCCAATAGCAATAATTACTTAATTGATCTTCTCACATTATTATATTTTCCTAAGAATAATGAAGGGTGACCCTAGAAACCTTTTCCAGTTTTCATGGGAGGCAGGCAGTAGGAGCTCATATTATTTTAAAGACTTGTTTTCTGAGAGGAACTCTGTAACATGAAGAGATACGCATGCCTGGTATTTTTAGACATTTGTTATCACACCTCCAAATTATGTGATCTGTCACACTGAAGACTACTTTAACATTGAGGTGGGATTCCCCTGTGTATGCTGTGAATATGTTTTATTATCACTGGTTAATAAAGAAATTGCTTTGGCCTGTGATAGGGCAGAATAAAGCCAGACAAAAAATTTGAACAGAGATATATAGAGAGAGTAGGTGGAATCAGGGATACATCATGGAGCTGCTGAAGGAGAAGGACTCTGAATCCTTACTGGTAAGCCACAGCCTTGTGGTGATACATAGATAATAGAAATGAGTTACCTTAAGAGATAAGAACTAACTAGAAATACGCCTAAGCTATTAACCAAATTGTGTTGTAACTAATAAAGTTTCTGTGTGATTATTTGGGTCTTGGCAGTTGGGAAATGAATGAACAGTTTCCATATACATACTGGTGCCCAACAGGAAACAAAGGCTCAGTCTTCTTTTACATCAATTGTCGAACTCCATATTGTCATAAGTAACTCCGCTCTTGATCTGTCCCCTGAGCTCCTCATGTGGAGCTTGACACATGGAACCCAAAACTGTGGCAAAGCATCTACCTCAGGTCTTCTTTTGCTGTTGCAAGCCTTCAAACTTTCTGGGATTATGTAGGCACATTGCTTCCAAGATAGAAGGCTCTGGTGTGGAAAAGCCACATGGAGAAATAACTCTGGAATTTTGCTCCAAATAGAATCACGGCCTGTTGTGCAGATTCATTTTAATCTAGTTTGACTCTTTGGACAAGCAACCTGAATAACCCATAGGTTTAAAAAGGAATGGGGGAGTGGTCACTCCAAATTGGAAAAAGTACAGAGAGTTTTACATTTTTATAGAAGGAAAGTAAGAGTTAGATATTTGGAGACTCAGATTTTAAACTTAGATAACAAAATCTATTTATTCTTTAAATAGTGCTCAGCTATTTTATTATTACTAATGCATTATTAGTAATACAGTATTACTAATACATTACAATAATATATAGAATATACTATGATGTATAATGTTATGTAGTACACTATATTTGCAGTACTATATATAATACACACTGTATAATATAAGCATTTAGGGAGTCATTCACTATCATAATTGATTTAATACATAAAATGCTTGTATTTAATTTTTTCAAAAGTCTCTGACTTAACTACTATGCAGCAGAAAGTTGTTTCTATTCAAAGATTTCAAATTCCAGTTGGTTGTGGAGTCTAAAACCTCTGAAAGTCTGCAGACTTTCATTTACAAAATATCTTTCATTCCCCTTAGGTTAACTGCTACTACCAAGGACACATCATAGATGAGAAAGATTCTGAAGCCAGCATCAGCATGTGTGACGGTCTACGGTGAGACTTCAGGAATCTTTCCACATCCCACTGGCATAGAGTTCATGTCTGAAAAGTCTGAAGATCCTCAAGTATAACTAATTACATAATATAGTTAAGTGTGATTCCTAAGGGCCACACAACTTTGAAATTTCACACCAACATACCATTTCTTTTAAAGTATGAAAATTATACGACTGAACCGCCTTCCATTTTGTTTTTGTTCTTTTTCTCATTTAAAAGTGAAGAGTTTTTTAGACTCAGTTTTATAGTCAGACTCTTTGAGAGTGTAGTAGCTCCTCTAACCTCTCCTCACTTTTATTAATCTCTAGTTTTATTCTTAAGAACATCTGTGTCCTTCTGTCTGGTTAGTGACTCCCCATGTTCCGGTCTACCCCATCAATACCAAGAACTGACCAATTGCCTTTTCCACACTTTTAGTTGGATACCTTAAAGAAGAATTTAAGTTTTAATGTGTTCTAAACTAAGTCAATCAATTGTCTCATAAATCATTACTTTCCCTGTGTTCTTGACCTCATGAGTGGAATAATCATTATAACTTAGCCAGTCAGGCATCATGAAGCCTTGAAGATTCCCTGCCTCATCTCTTGAGCCTCCATTTCCTTATCAAGCTCCAGTGATTATGTCTTCTAGTTACATCCTGTTGGTTCGCTATGTCTGTCTCTACTGAAACGTTCTACTTTAACCACCATGCACTTCAACTGAACCATCTGAAATAAGCACACACACTTGCTGTCTTCCAGTTTTAGACACTGTATACTCATGCATTTCTACTTCATACTAATTAGATATAGCTGCATATATATGCCTCTGCTAAATAACCACATATACTTTTTAAATGATTTCTCCACACTCATTTTTCTCATTTTGAATATAAGGTTCATGAAGGAAGAGACTGTGAGATCTTTTATTCCCCGCTTTCAGTACAGGGCTTAATAGTCTCGTTAAATATGATGCAGACCAATCTTAAGCCATTGGAGCTCTAGATTAATTAAGGAGTGAAAACACAACTGGAATTTCTTGTCGTTTGCACAAAAGTTAGTAAGCCTTAAAAACAACGCAGTGAGCAACCAGCCACGAATCATCTCAGACTTCAGTACCAGGGCTTATGAAGATGCTGGAAATCTTCCCTGGCCACACACTTCACCCGCCTCATCTGTCCACCCCTACCACCCTCCTCCTGGCCCTTCTATTTTCTAGTTTATAGACTAAAAAGTGAGGATGTTTAATTAATGTTTCTCTGGATTCTTGGTTAGTCAGAACAGGCCTAGAATTTTAATCCCTCATAAGACTCCAAAGCGACCGTCCCTTTCAACGCCCCTGTAGTGTAGGAACGGGATGAAAATTGAAGTTTGAATCAGTAAACATTCTCCAGAAACAAGAAAGCTGGGCTACTTTGTTACCATAAGATTAAACTTCTTTGGCCTTGGCTAGGAAGTCATGAAGCCATTGAAGACATCTTTGGCCTTGGCTAGGAAGTCATGAAGCCGTTGAAAACACTGTTTCGTTAAGAAGTCTGAATTCTTGTGCTCCTCAGGGGCTACTTCAGTCAAGGAGATGAACGATATTTTATCGAACCTTTGAGATCTGGGAGTCTGGATGAGCATGCCCATGCCGTCTTCAAGGACGACCCCAACGAAGATCAGGCTAACAGCAGCTGCGGCGTGGACGATGCGCGATGGCAACAAGGGCTGCATGGGAACGTGGTCCCATCAGCCACCAGACTAATTGTATGTAGAGTTTGATTGTTGCTGGAATTTTAGTTTTGTGTCCTAACCTGGGTCCTAATCCTTTCCTTTTCTTCTTCTCATGTATGTGTATTGTATGTGCAGGCATATGTGTATACATGACCCTATGTGTGTCTGTAGAGACCCCTGGTTGATGTCAAGTGTTTTCCTCAAATGATCCACAGCTTCGATAATGAGCCACGGTTTCTTGATGAACCCAGCACGAGCCATTATTGATACTCTCTGCGTAGCTAGGTGGCTCCAGGAATAACCTGTCTCTGCCCTTTCTGTACTTGGATTAAAGGCAGGCTGCCACACCCACGAATCTTTCACAGTGGGTTTAGGGATCTGACTACCAGCACTCACATTTTCACAGGCAGGGTTATATCTGCTCAGCCACCTTTCCAGCCCTTGGTTCTGATCTTAGCAGTGTGCTTGGTTCACATTTTATAGTCACCACTGAAACTAATAACTTAAACTTTTACTGATGGGAAAAGTTGTATGTTACTAATTCGCTTAATATGAATCTGTGCACAAACTGTTACCATCAACCATATGCGAAGGCTAAAAAGAAATCTGAGCTATGATATAAGACAGCGAGGAGCAGACAGCACTCACAGAGCCCTCTGAAGCTCGCCACAAAGCACACACGTACAAAGACTTTTCTATTGTGGTAGAAATACGATGGATTTGCACTCAAAGATATTCAAGTGTGCTAGAAGTGCAGTAACAAGCAATATAAAAGTAGAGTCTACCCTTAGGACCACAGAATATTCTCTTCTTTGGAGAACCATTTTTAAAAAGACTTACTTATGTATTTTGTGTATGAGTCAAATCCCATGATAGATTTTTGTGAGCCACATGTGGTTTCTGGGAATTGAACTCAGGATTTCTGGAGGAGCAGCCGGTGCTCTTATCTGCTGAACTGTCTCTTCAGCCCCAAAGAATATTCTTTCTTGTGTGGAATCCTGTTCTGACCACAGAAGAAGAAACAAACCCAGCTGTTTCCAGCTGTGTGGTGTGCACTAACGTGTTCCTGTCCGTTTACTTACATTGCTTGATGATCTCTTCCAAGTGTTCTCAGAATCTGGGAACACCAGGCAGACTGCTTCTGTGTAAAACTGGAGGCCATTCTCTTTGTCACGGATTGAATCTTCACCAACCTTATCTAGGAAACCAGAAGAATTTGCCCTGGCTACATGTTTCTCTCAGTATCATGCTGGTTCTGGCTGGCACTAGCCTCTGCTCTTCCCATCTTGATTCTTAGGGATCATGTAGAAATGGCCTTGCTTTCCCAACCTGCTACTGTGTGCTGTGTGCTGTGTGCTGTGGGCTGGAACACCTTTCTTTCACTCCTCTTCTGGTTGGTCATTTGATATTAGAAGCCCATGGCAAACTGTTCCCTGCATTTTGCTTTCTCAGTGAATTCTTCCCAGGTAATCTCATCTTGTCCCACATCTTCTTTCCTTCAGTGGAACACTGTAGGGCTAGGATATTGCTCAACTAGTAGAATGCTTGCTACCCATCTCTTCACGTATTTCAGGTCTGCATTGGGCTCCCGGAGAGCATTCCAAGATCACCATGACAACAACTTGCATCCATCCTTTCTACGTCTGTTTCCATCCTAGCAGAATCTACTCTCCCTGGCCTAGGTTGAGTGATGCTTTGTTATAAAGTACATCATGCTAAAGTCCCTGGGTGGCTTTCCACTCATCACATTTAGAAGATAGTTCCAACCACTGCCATTAGTTACAGACGTCTGTCTGAGTCTGTCTAGCATTCCCTACTTTGTATGTCTCCCTCCTATAAATTTTTATTCCATTATTCTGATGAAAAAACAACATTTTTCCCCCGATTTTTAAACAAATCACTGTCAATTAGCCAAAGAGATCGGGATTTTACATTTTTTTCTTTTCTGGTTTACATTCCAATTATTTTCATTTCTTGAGTTCCTGTTTTTATGAGTATTCCATGTAGTTCAAGTCTTTAAAAACACATCTTCTAACTCTCTATTTTGTAATCATTATCTAATAACCCAGCTTCAACCACTCATTGAATCCATCCCACAGCACTAATTACACTTGATGTGAGTATGGGTGTGCCTGCTGGTGCGGGTGCAAGTGTGTGTTTGTCTCTTGTGAGTTACTAAGCTGATGGACCAAGTACACTTATCTCTCCCAGTACCCAGAGTGCTGTGACTGCATAGAAACTGCTGGTAAATATTCTATTGCTATAGAAAATGGGAGATAAATATACATCTCACTAGATAGTATGTAAGAGTCTACCTTCAGTAATTTGTTTCTGATGATGGAAACATGAAAGACAAGCATTTCTGAACTCTGTCTGCTTGCATGCCTGAATGTGGTGGTAGAGTTCCAACAGCAATATTTTCTGTCTTGATTGTCAGGTACCATCTAATCTCTTCTAAGGTGGCACGTGTTAAGTAAAAGATCCACAGAAAAACGTGTTGTCTTAGTCATGGTCTTCCTTTTATTTCAGAAGCTGGATGGTGGGAAGGCTCACGAACCTAAGACATATATTGAATATTTTTTGGTCCTGGATAATGGTGAGGTAATTACATCAGATAAATGCATCTCACAAAATTCTCTTGTGCATAAACTTATTGTGTGAAACATAAATGTCTAGCTCCATTTGGTATTCAAAAATATGAACCATATAGAGAAATTATTCTAAGTCTATGAAATTGATATTTATAATAAAATAGACAAGTGTTTCTCCTTCTCAGAAATAAGCAAATGACAAATATATATATATATATATATATATATATATATAAAAATCTCATTGTTGGTCCTATAAATCTCTTTTCTTACTATCATTAGAGATAAACTTTAGTTCCCATTTAAACTCCTTCATCATCATGTTGTCATTGGTAAGGCAGTTAATTTGTAATATAGGATTTATGTTCTGGAGGAGGCAGTCATAAGTGCAGAAGCCCAGTGGATGGGCTCTTTGAAGAAAGACAACCTTTGGTGATAGATCCCAGAAGACAATTTCTTTTCTAGGAACACATTTTCGAGTTTCTAAACAAGCGCTCTGTGTGTTTAATGCAAAAAAAATGCTTGGATATCAAAACTATGGGGAAATTAGTTAGCCCAGAACCCAAATCTCTGGTCTCATTGCATTAGATACATCTACTATGCATATATTTATAATGATAAACTGTGCTTTGTTCTGATTATGCACAGTTGGGAAATCATGAAACTTAAAGCACATTTAGAATAAATCCTTTGCTCTACTGTGTCACAGCTTTACTTGAGACAGAGTCTTGGTATGCAGCCAACGCTGTCCTTATCATGGTCCTCTTGCCTCGGTCCCCAACTGTTGAGATGGCAGGTGGACCACCATGCATGGCTAAAGTTTTAAAAGCTATATGCTCTCCTACTATTTCAATTGAGGAAACATATGTTATTCCCAGAAAATTTAATGTTAATTTCCATTAAAGATGAATTACTTTGCTTTTATCTTCTAAATATTAATAAGTGATAATTACTTATAATCACTGTAAAGTTAGTTAAATTGTCTCCAATTATATTAATTGCTATCAGCTCCCATTTCTATTTCTGTCTTTTCCTTGCCTTTTAGTTTAAGAAGTACAATAAAAATCTTACTGAAATAAGAAAGAGAGTGCTTGAGATGGCCAATTACGTCAACATGGTATGTTATATTTTATTAAATGTAACTTTTAAACACTTTGTTAAGAGATGACCTTGAATGTTTCTATGAATGAGCATGAGTCCAGGATGAGGAGCCAAGTCCCCTGAAGCTAAGGCTAAAAGGGACTCCAAGGAATGATGATGGGTTTTGCTATTTCAGTAGGTATTAATATTGCTGAAAGGTCAGCTTCCAGCAGGCCAGAGAGAATGAAGAAGATTATAGTGATGGAGCAGCTGTATACACACAGGAGACGTCTGAGGGCCAGAGCTTAATTCTTCATTATAGCTTTCTATAGCTTTTCTGTTCTATGTTTCCCCTTTATCCCTTTTATACCACACAAGACAAAGATTTCTATGCGAGAAAAGATCACCTCCTCACCACAAGCTACTTATTTTCCAAAAACAGATTAAGGTCTTTACATAAGAAGAAATCATATTATAAGCAGATGCTACATGTTTTCCTTAGAAGCCTACAAGTAGTTAAATATTTTTTTTGGTATTAATTTTCCCAACATAACATCTTCACCCCAAAGCAATGGTTCTTTTATTACCTATTAACAGAGATTTTAACAAGCCAAATATTTGTCAGCCAGTTCTTTTGTACTAACAGGCAGCTGCTTGAGGTTTAGTACAGCAGATTTCTATTCTTTACTCTAGAAAAACTTTAAACAAGTGGTCAGCTGATCATCAACTTTTCTTTGCACATAATGGGATCATTGAATTTCCTTTCGCAACTTTGTTTTTTCAAGGTGCATGCCGACTCCTGTGATGAATTCTCTAAGTTATATGTTCAAGGAACTCAGGCCTACCCTTGGTTGGTCATAATACTTTCTTTAATCACCATCCTATTTTCCACTGGCAGAATTTATGGGTTACAATGCACAAAACATCTCTGTTCTCATTTTCCATTCTCTGCAAATCTTTTATCTAACGTGGTGGCGTCTAGCCTAATTGTGCCCTTTTTCTATCTCTTATTGGAGCAATTTGCAGAGTAACCCAAACTGATTCCCTAGTCATCTTTATTAACTGTTCTAACCACTTGTATCTTTTGGATTAGCTTCAAAAGTATTTGATACTTTCCAATTAAATCATAGATCTAATTAATCACCATAGCCCTTATAAAAAATCATCTTCATCATGATCTGAAAGTTAATTGCCCAGAAAGGAGTGGGATTTTCTCAAGAAACATCATACTTCTAGATATAGTGGGGTCCATTCATTTAGTAATCACACCATGCCACACACAGCAGGAACATAGCAGCAGCAAGCAGAAGGAAGCGTAAGAGCAAGAATGTACCCAGCATAACTTTGCTATCTATCCACTGGGCTGTATTCCATAAACTACATTGGCATCCTCTGATATCCCCACCGGCATATTAGTACCACCCTGTGCTTAAGACCAAAAACAACAAATCAAACTTTATTTAGTAAGAGTTTTCCCCCAAATCCACTTAAGAAACTATTTGTCTTAGTTAGAGTTTACTATTTCCCCACCATGACCACAGCAACTCTTATAAAGAAAACATTTAATTGTGGTGGCTCACTTACAGTTCAGAGGTTCAGTCCATCATGGTGGGAGCATGGGGGCCATGCAGGCAGGCATGGTGCTAGAGATGTAGCCAAGTGTCCTGTATCTTGCAGCAACAGGAAGTCAACTGACTATTACATTGAGTGAAACTTGAGAAAAAGACCTCAAAGTCTGCCCCCAAAGTGATACACTTCCAACAGCGGGTGTGGCTCAGATTAAATGTGTGCCCTCCAGCCTCAAGGTCTGGATTAGAGGTGTGTCTCATTCAGCCTCTTCCAACAAGACCACACTTCATCAAACAAGCCACACCTCCTAATGGTGCCACTCCCTATGATCTTATGGGGTCAAATATATTCAAACTAGCCCAATACTGATATCCAAATCCCAATAAAAAATTATTCCAGGGAATTAAAAGAAAACAAAAAACAAAATAGACCCATTAAGTCTAGAACTGTAGTACCTTTCTTACCCATATTAGCTCATTCAATCTTGAAAACAACCCTCAAAATGTTACTTAAGATAATTTCCAGATTAGCATGTTTATCTGAAAAATTATAGCAATGTGCATAGTGATAAAGGACATGACACTTTTGAAAGACAAAGTGCACTGAAAATATTAAACAGTAATCTCACTATTATAACCTATTGCTTTTCTATGTATTCTCTTTGGACAGCTTTACAAAAAGCTTAATGCCCATGTAGCCTTAGTTGGAATGGAAATCTGGACCGATGAGGATAAAATAAAGATAACCCCAGATGCCAACAGCACCCTGGATAACTTCTCTAGATGGAGAGGAAATGATCTACTAAAACGGAAGCATCATGATATTGCCCAGTTAATCTCGTATGTATAGTTCCTTCTTTGCACTCTGCATGGCATGTGCCATAGGCTCTACTATCAGAGCCTCAGCAATGAAGTGATATCTACATCTTACATGGGGCACATGTAAGATATAAGGAGAAAATTGAAAAAGGGAAATTGAAAGGGTTTTAAAAAATACACAGCTGGGTCCTTGTTGAATATGATTTACTTTGGGTCCACATATTGGCTTTTGAAAAAAAAAGTAAAGATAACATAGGCTATTATTTATTAGAATTCTGTTTTATTGTGTCTACACAGAAGAAGGACAAATTTAGACCATGAAAAGAAAGATTTAGACTCTGTTTAGAAGAACCGAGTCAATTTAGCCACGAGATAGGAGAAACTTCTAGAATCAAAGTAAGATTGACTGTTGCATTAAAACCCCGGACTGGGACTACTCTGCTGAAGGGGCATTTGAAAACAAGAGATAAAGTAATACAAGCATTGAACTTTGGCTTCTGAGATTAAGAATGTGCCTTTGCACAGGTGCATAGTTTCAGTCATTTCAGACAGTAGGAAGCTGCCATCATGGATTTGAAATGGCTAAAAAATCTGCTTCCTCAGGCAACAGGGCATGACATGGAAGTGGGTGGCCTATGTCCTGTAGAATTAATTTATATTTTGTACTGATCATAACAAATTAATTCAAAACTTATGACTTTAATATAAGCTTAATTCCCATATGTATGTACACACACACACACACACACACACACACACTTGGGCTAGTATGGCTGGAACAGGCCAGGCTATATTCCTCTATATATAATCTTTCATATGGCCAGCGTAGATTTCCTCCAGTGTAGCAGTCTCATTGCAGTAGGATTAAAAAAAAAAGTGTTTGGCTTCTCTCACATCAGCATTCCATGAAGCCCAGGAGAAACTTGGCTTATTGTGACCTAACCTTAAAGTTTACACAGCATTACAATGGATGTGTGATCTTAACCATAACAGATGTGTGCTCTTAGCCACGATGGATTATGATCTTAATGGCAATGGATGTGTGCTCTTAGCCACAATGAGTGTATGATCTTAACCACAATGGATGTATGCTCTTAGCCACAATAATTATATGGTCTTAACCAAAATCCCATACCACAGTACCAACCCATTTCCAAGATAAAGGTGCTCATTGGGCTATAAGTGCTACAGGAATGACTCATTGAAAGAAGGCACAGTTGAAGAATAACAAGCACAAACTCCTTAGCTTGGAAGAGTGACTTCTAGATTGAGACACACTTTTGGGTGGAGTCTGTTCCTTAAGGAGAAATGTAATGAGCTCCTAAGTTATGACCTTAGTTACTAGAGAACCTAAGCGATTTGAACTTTTCCAAGTCAGTCAAGTTGCTGTATATTTATATACTAGAGAGCAATGGCATAGAGAGATGAAAATCATAGGCAGGATTTAAATGTGTAGGTAAATTTTAATGGAATGCTGAGAAGATATTTCTTGAATGGATTAAATGATGGCTGGCAATTTAACTTGCTCCAGTACTTGTTTAGAGTTCTAAATAAATTGTTTATAAAAATACAGGTTCCCCATTTTTACATTCATTCTTTTCTTCCTTACAGCTCAAGAGACTTTTCTGGATCAACAGTGGGCCTCGCTTTCATGTCTTCAATGTGTTCCCCTTATCATTCTGTTGGTGTCATTCAGGTCTGTTTGAAGATCAAATATTGGTTCTATGCGACTCCCCAACTTTCCTACCCTGTCTATGGAGTTAGGGCTTTCCTACTGCTGCTTCTGGGTAAATACAGTGACTGAAAGGCAAACATTGACCTAATCTTGCATTTTGGGATAAATCTGATGTATTCCTAAAGTGTTGTCATCATTCACAGTGCTAGTACATCTTCAGGATCCCTGCTCTAGACTCAGGGGTCGTATCAATCTACAGTTTGATTTTTACTATAGCGTGATTATTAAAGGTTTGGTTGTTATAGTGAATTTGACCACACTAAAGGACTTGGAATATATTTCCAGCTCTGATTTTCTGCATTGTTGGGTAGACTTGCTACTGCTTCTGCCAAAATGTTTATCACAATACACCAGTAAAACTGTGTGGTACTGTAGTTTTCTTTTAGAAAGAATTTTGAAGTCAAATTTTATTGGGTCAGTCAACTTTGGGACTGCTCAGATTATCTTTATTTGAGCAACCTCGATAGTTCCATCTTTCAGGGGGAAAAGATGTCCACCAACTGACTATATTCACTACAATCTTTTCTATATGGAGCTAACTTACAAGCTTATCCTCTTATAATATTGATGGTAAATACCTTTTCTTTTTTTTGTTGTTGTTGTGATCAGTTTCAGTTGGTGTTTATCAATTTCTTTGCTCTATGCAAAAATCATTGGTACTTTCAATAGTTTTTCCTCTAAACATCACCATGAGAAGTACATGTCATTCTCCCCTGTTATTACCCTTAGGATCACAGTAACTACCATCTTCGAGTTGCAGGGACAATGGCTCATGAAATGGGGCACAACCTCGGTATGATCCATGAATATTTGAGTTGCAAGTGTCCATCTGAAGTCTGTGTAATGGAGCAGTCACTAAGGTGAGGGTGTTGGGGCATGCTGTCTGTCCCAGGTTTTGATGTACTATGGTTGGTGCTCTCCTCAAGGTAATAGTCAACAACTTGTTCAAGACTTTGTCTTAGAATTGGAAGAATTTTAACAAAATCAGGAAGTTTACATTTGTTGTCAAATTTTCCATAAACTTAGAAAGAGTGATTATAGTACAGAGTTTTTGAAGAAAAATCTGATGTCCTTCAACAACAGAAGAGTAAATAAAGAAGATGTGGCACATTTACATAATGGAGTATTTCTCAGTTGTTAAAAAATGCCATCATCAAATTTTCAGGCAAATCGATGGAACTGGAAAATATCAGCCTATGCAAGGTAACCCAGACCTAGAGAGACAAATATAATCTGCCATCATCAGAGAAGGTTCTTACCACAGATGGGAACAGAGGCCAACATTATACAGAGACTGAGAAAGCTTGGAACCTTCAGTCTTAAATGGGATGTCTCCTCCATTCTATTCCCCCTTTCAGAACCCAGGGAACATTGCAGAAGATGGGGCAGAAAAGTGTTAGAGCAAGAGGGGATGGAGGACACCAAGAAAAAAATCCTTGTAAATCAACCAGAGCAAAGCTCATATGAACTCACAGAGAATGAGGCAACATTCCTAGGGTCTACAAAGGTCTGCACCAGGTCCTCTGTATATATATTGTACCTTCCAGTTTAGTGTTTTTGTAGATTCCTGAGTGTACAAATAATTGGGTCTTTGATTCATGTGCCTTCTCTTGGGCTCTTTTCCTTCTATTGGTTTATCCTGTCCAAATTCAATGTGATAGTTTTGGCTTTGTCATATTACATTTTATTTTGTATATTCTAATATTTAATATATTCTAATATTAAATCTTGGAAACCTGTTACTTTCTAATGAGAAACAGAAAGTGAGTGGGTCTGTGTGGGATGGGCATTGAAGAGGAAATGGGAAGAGTAGAGAAAGGGGAAAACATGAGCAGGATATATTATGTGAGGAAAAAATAATCTATGTTTAATAAAAGAAAAAAATAAGGAACTTCATAGAGGAAAAAATGGGAAAGATATTTATATCCCTATGTTTCTGAAAAAATTTCCAGGTAGTCTTATCTAATTCTCTATCTATCTATCTATCTATCTATCTATCTATCTATCTATCTATCTATCTATCTATCTATCTTCTTATCTATGCATATGTGTATTTATATATGAATATACATACATGCATATAAGTTTATATATATATTTCTTCTTTTCTGTTCTTATTTTTCTGCCAACTCTATTATTAAGTTATTTTTTATACTCCTTCCCCCCAAAGAACCTGAATTCCCCCCAGTTACACATTTAGTATCATTTCTCCCAGATATTATTGCATATTTAAGGCTCACCTTCACTTATAAAATGAAGAGAATATCAATGGTACTTACCTAAGGGAATATGATTTATGCATAAAATTGGACTGTTTTCCATAATGATCCAGGAACAAGAGAGACTACATGAGCTGGCCAAGAAGCATTTTTGTTTTCATTAAAAGTGGTCAGTATGCTATACTTTGAGAACAGTCATATTTACCCACTAGGCTGAGATATTAATGTCCACACAAGTGGGTGAATTTAGAAATTTAGATGTTTGCTTAACTTAGTACTTGGTCAGTTATTAGATTTGATCTCTGCAGTTATTAGTCAGTATCATTACTGCTAACACCAGTTGTTACTTCCCACAATTAAAGCATGGTGGTACTGCTTTTTCCCTTTATCTACATAGGTTCCATATGCCCACAGACTTCAGTTCCTGCAGCCATGTCAACTATGGGCAGTTTCTTGAAGACAAATTGTCTCATTGCCTCTATAATACCCCATTGCCTTCTGATATCATATCCATCCCGGTGTGTGGCAACCAATTACTAGAGATGAACGAGGAATGTGACTGTGGCTCCCCCCAGGTACTTCTAGCCCTTTGTACAAGCACCTAGTTCATTTATCAGTTGCTGAGAACATAAAGTGTACAAGACTATATCATAAAACTGAATAATTCTTCGGACTTTGGATTGGTATGTATTTTTCAGGTTAGTCTGCCAAGGACTATGTGAATCTTAATATATCTTTATTTTTTCACTAGATCCCTTTCCTTCCTGACTTTGTAGCACCCCTCACCAATGTCTTCATCCCTAGAATTCTGGTTGAAATTCTTCAGGTAGCTTAAACAACTGTGGACCAGTGAGCATCACCTTGGGAGCAGCACTACAGCAGTATTTAGAGAGTGAATCGTTTGCTTTCCCGTGTCCACAGACCTGGCCAGAGCAAGAGGTCTTGCTTTCTGACTCTCACACCCACATCACAAGTCTCACATCTGTCAAGACTCAGAACTTGTTGGCATCACAATCCAAACCCCACCCTACTCTCATCCTATTCACAGGCGGGCCAGAACTCTAAATAGGGTTCTAACCTACCCCCATTTTTTTTTTAAGCACTTAACAGGAGTAATGCGCGATTCCCTCTGGGAACTAGCATTGCAATGACTTCAGAATAAGATTAAAGATTTATTCCTTCTATTCTCAAGGTTAATCTTCCTCTGATGATGGCTTTACTTAATTAAATTTAGGGAAGTAGTTTTAACTCGAAAAGCATTGTAACTCTTGAAGTCTCGCTTTTCAGTAGGAGTCTTGACAGTTACAGTGGAAATTGCCTGAGATTCTAGTTTCTCCAACACCTGTAGGAAAGGGTTTGGATCTTTAAAAAAAAAAAAAAAAAAAAAACAAAAGCCAAAGAAAGTATGATGCTTTCGTGGGTGTCCAACCATTTGACCTTGCAATATGATGTCACTTACAGATATGTTGAGTAACATTAGAATTTATTCTGGGACAAGTACTAGAATTGAATTAATGGCCAAAGTATGTATGTTGATGACTAATTTAATAATATTTAATATCTATATTGAAAATGAAATTAAATTGAAGATGAGATAGAGCCACAACTAATGAGTAAGATTATTTATGTTGGATTGTCCTAAAAAACTATGCTTTTCCTTTTGTTTTCCTTTATATTTTATCAAGAAAAAATAGAACTTATGACTAGTCCTATTAAAGACTTGTGAGGAATGTATTTGTTCAAAAGAATAGAAAGCATATGTCCATTAAAACATATGGGAGACCTTACCCTTTCTGGAGATTGGATGGGGGTGGGGGAAGGTAGAGGGTGAGAAGAGGGTAGGGAGGGGCAACTGGAGTTGGTATGTAAAACTGTAAAACGATGAAAAAATATGAAAATTGGTATGTAAAACTGTAAAACGATGAAAAAATATGAAAATAAAAGTCAGATGCACACAAGTCGTCAGCCGCTCAGACTCTTTCTAAGGTCTGGGCATATCTCTATTTCACTATAGGAAAATTTTAAAAGATGCCAAGTAATGTGTACATGTAGCAAACAAGCTATACATGGAATTGTCCTGAAATAATATGTCACTTTCGTCTGCCTGACATTTCCTAGGAATGTACCAACAGATGCTGCAATGCGAAGAGCTGTAAAATCAAAGCAGGTTTCCAGTGCGCCCTGGGCGAGTGCTGTGAGAAGTGCCAAGTAAGGGTCATTCGTGCCGCTTTTATAACTGTGATTCTTCTTCTGTACTAATGCTGCAGTGACTATGTTAAGTCGCGCAGGCACAGCAGTGTTTTTCCCCCTAGAAAATAATGACTCAATCACTCATTGGGTATTTTTCCAACTCAACCAGTCTCCCAACAACGCAAAGGAGATATTATCTCATTTTTCTTTTGATTGAAAGGAGTCTTAGAGCAGAAAATGTGAAAAAAATAGTATGTCTCCCGTTTGTCACAATCAGAACAGTCCATGAGGGCATTATAGCAAGTGAAAGAAAATAGACTCAGAGAGCCAAAGGCTGTGCGATGGCTTGTAAATGCAGACTCTAAAAAAGTTGACTTTAGGACTCAACGTGTGGTTCAGCTGGCAGAGTGCTTGCCTAGCATGCATGAAGCTCCGGGTTCAAACCCCAATGCAGCATGAGCCAGGTATGGTCAATGGTCATTCATGCCCTTAATCTCAGCAACAAAAGGTAGAGGAAGCAGGATCAGAAGTTCAGAATTATCATTGGCTACATAAAGGAGTCAAGGCCAAACTGAATACACAGATCTCTCTCTCTCTCTCTCTCTCTCTCTCTCTCTCTCTCTCTCTCTCTCTCTCTCTCACACACACACACACACACACACACACACTGAAATGCCACATTGTTCATCTTGAATTCATACAATGTGATTTTTGAGAAATACAAAACATTGTCATTATTTAGGAGACAAATCAACATGGGCAAATATGACCAGCTCCAAGGCCATTGGGAGTTTCCCCTTCTGCTTCTTCTCATGGGTACCCACAACTTCAGGGCTTTCCCTAGAGAGCATAATATCAATGGATGGAACCTACCTGTACTGATAGATCTGTTAATAAAGTGTTTTGAACTTAGTGGTGCTTCTCATATCTTAAATCAGCACCCAAAATTCAAAAACACATTATTTGAATCTAAATTCAAGGGCTCACCCTCACTATATGGAGGAAAAAAAGAGCAGAAATTTATATTGGAGAGACGAGAGAACAGTTCACCTGAAAGCAGTATTTCCGGTGACTGGGAAGCAGAAAGGAATTGATTTTAGGTTTAGATTTAGGCATCGAAAGACAGAATGTCTAACTGATAAGAAAGGAAGGAGAAGTGACTTGGTGTGGTTTGGTATAAGAGAACCAGGCTGATTGGAGCAGTGGGAATTACATTCAGAAGGCCGGTAAACTCTGACTACAATTTTGGTCTGGCCCTGTAACTGGTATTAAAAGAGTGTAAGTTGTTTGGTTCATGAGATGAACAGTGCCTACACACACAGCCGGCAAAGGATAAGCCTCCTCTGATTTGCTGAAGTGACAGAAAAGTTTTTTTTTTTTAATCAAAGTTTCTCTGTGGAAATAAGGGCAAAATTTACAGTACCATTGCAACAGAGTTCACGTAACTAGAGCGTCCTTGGTTATTTCTTTCTTCGCAATGCAACATTCCATAACAAGAGTTGACAAGAAATACCCGAATCTAGAATTAAAAGAAATGAGGAAACTTGATGCCTGGGAAAGTCTTGAGGTATGCGATTCTGGCACTTGGAAGGCTGTCTCCTTTTCCAGCAGAAGGTTCACTTAACCAGCAAATCCTGAAGTTGCCAACTTAAAACTCATAAATCATGACAGAAAGAAGCATTCAACAAAGTGAGACTGGCAACTCTCTGCTCTCCATCTGAGACATTGCCTGGCATGCTTCTTATTTTACTTTATGCTTCTTTAGTATTTGCATTGTAAATTCAAAATATTAATTGCTTAAGGACTCGGAGTATTGGTCAACATCAACACTAATCACATGACAAGGATGTAATGCAAAAACAAATTACAATAATAAAAGAATGTCATGGCCCAGAAGACCAAATGGATTTGCTTATGTTACTCTTGAATGTCAGGACTTGCAAGGGGCAAGGTGACACATATTTTCTATTTTTCTTCTCTTGAAGCTTAAAAAGGCTGGGGTTGTATGCAGGGCAGCAAAAGATGAGTGCGATCTGCCTGAAATGTGTGATGGTAAATCCAGCCACTGCCCAGTCGACAGATTTAGAGTCAATGGCTTTCCTTGCCAAAATGGGCATGGCTATTGTTTGAAGGGCAACTGTCCCACCCTGCAGCAACAGTGCACGGAGATGTGGGGCCCAGGTAAGACACTGTATTTGTTTCTTTTCTTGCTACTGTGACAATAAAGCAAAGAAGAATACTTAAGGAAAGGACAGTTGCTTTTTGTCTCTTAGTTCCTGCAGAAATCCTTCATGGTGGGGAATCTCAGGCTGCAGGAATTTGAGGCAAGTGATTATACTGTATCCCCAGTTGGTTATTCTGTTTCCCCAGTTAGGAAACAGAAGAAGAAGAATGCCTGTGCTCCATTTAGTTTTTCCTTTTTATGCAGTCTAGGACTACAGCTCATGGGATGATGTCACCCAAGGTGGGCTTTCTCTCCTTAGTTAAGCATTTCTGGAAACAGCTTCAGAGATATACCCAGAAGTGTGTTTCCATGGTGAATCTAGCACTTATTAGGTTGGCAATGAAGATTAGCATCACAGTGGCAAGATCCTCTCCATGTCTACATCATCCCAGTGATGATGTTTGGCCTTGACGAAAGGACCAAGCTACCCCATTCTTCCAAGAAATGGTGTCACTTCTCAAAATCAGAAATAAGTGTATTTTCGATTTTTAATTGGAGAGTTTCATACATGAGTATACTGTATTTACATCAATCCCACCCCTTTCCTTAGCTCCTCCCTCCCCCAGCTTGCTCTCAGACTCATGAGATCTTTCTTTTTCTATAATTATTACTGCTAACACACACACACACACACACACACACACGCCATTGACTCTATTTAGTGATGTTCATACATACACATGTGTTTAGAGCTGACCATTTGGGATGGTATACAGGGCGTTCATAGGTGAAGAAAACTGATTCTCCCTCCCTCTCTCCCCAACCATTGGTTCCTGAAAATTTTTATCTAGGGGCATGGCCTGGTGGGTTCTACTATTCCTTTTGTGTGTTGACTGGTGTGATTATTACACAGGTCTTGTTTAAGCAATGGCATTATTGAGATTTCATGGGGTCATATCTAGAAGATGCTATGTTGCAGCTGACATCTTGGTCCTCTGGCTCTTACAGTCTTTCGGCTCTTCTTTCCGTTATGTTCCAGGAGCCTGAGATGTAGGGATTGTACTGTTGATGTGCTAACTAGGGATGGGGACCCCATAGCCATGTATTCCTTGCATTTTGGTCATATTTGGATCTCTTTGGTAGCCTCTGTGTACTGCAAAAAATAAAATAAACTTTAAAAAGCTTCATTGATAAGGGAGTGAGAACAGTTGTTTATGGGTATAAGGATAAATATTTAAAATAAAAGTAGCAACTGTATTGATTAGGAAAAGTGGTAAAAGTAATTTCTCATTTAGTGTCTATGATCTCTCCAGCCATGGGTTATTGGTAGTACCAGCCATGAATTTCCTTGTATTGCACTATTAAATCCATCTAGATAGCTGTTAGTTAACTCCAAGATATAAGTGCCACTATTGCATCACTGGAAAAATAACCACTGGTCATTGTTGTAGTCAAAGGCACAACAGCTGTGCAGAACTAGTCTCCCTTGGCAGCTTGCAAGGTACTTCAGATACTTCTGAGAAGCAATTTTAGATTATAGACACACATGTTGTATAATCTAACTTTAAGATGTGGTGTGTGTGTGTGTGTAATTGTGTCACAATGAGTGATAACACTCATTCACAGGCATCATAGACTATCTAATAATCACCCTAATGACAGGCAGTGCACTCCCTTGGAGGTGTAGCTCATGGGCTGTCCCATAGACAACCTCCCCTTTAAATATCACATGCTTTTATGCTACCCTTGGTTGTCTCTCAAAACTTGAAGGTAAGACATTTTTGCTGAGGACACCACACACTTCAGATCAAGGAAAGTAGAGGAATCAAGCTGGATGCAGGCATATTTTTAAGACCAAATGTTTAAAGATAGCAAATAAAAAGGCTGCTCTAGTGAAATTTTACTTTGAGATTGACATTTTTTTGTTCACCTTTCTGACCATACAGTGTTTGAGACAAGCTTTGCAAAAGTCATTTTTATCTCAGGTTTGAATTCACCTGTGCACACAGGCGTGACAGTGGTGCTGGTGGGTAGGCCATGAGCTCAAGTGGGAAACAAGTAAATGAAGACCCATTGAAGGTGGAAGGGCAGTGAGGGAGCGCGAGAACATTTCAAAGACCATTTTGGTCCACTCAAATTTTAGTGGCCACACTAAGGAAATCATAACACAGGCTTTAAAATAAAATGCACTGGCTGAAGGCTCTAAGATGGCTGGCCTTCCCCTGTAATCAGATTGGTGACTACCCTAACTGTCGTCATGGAGCCTTCATCCTGTACATGATGGAAGTGGATGCAGAGATCTACAGCTAAGCACTGGGCCAAGCTCATGGTGTAGAGTTGAAGAGAGGGTGAATGAATTATATGAGCAAGAGGAGGAGGTCAAAATCATGATGGGCAAATCAGAGGAACAGCTGACCTGAGCTTGTGGGAACTCAAGGACTCTGGACAGACAGCTAGGGAGCCAACATGGGACTGACCTAAGCCTCTGCATCTGGGTGACACTTGTGTAGCTTGGGCCTTTGTAGGGCCCCTAGCAGTGGGACCAGGACCTGTCCCTGTTGCATGAGCTGACTCTTTGGAACCTATTCTCTATGGTGGGATGCTTTGACTAGTCTTGATGCAAGAGGATGGAGCTTGATCCTGCCTCAGCTTGATATGCCATGCTTTGCTGATTCCCATGGGAGGCTTTTTCCATATGAATAGAGATGAGAGGGAGTAGATGGAGTGGGTAGAAGGGAGGTAGAGAGGAGGGAACCAGAGGAGAAGAGAGAGGAGAGACTGTGGTTGGTGTGTAAAATAAATTTTTAAAAAATGATGAATAATAAAAAATAAAATAACATGTGATGTAAAGATATCTATAAACATTAAGCCCAAATTTAGACTGTATTTTTTATTGTAAATTCAACTTTCTAATCAGAGTGTGCTCACTTCTATGAAAAGTATATAAAGATGTTGAACTCCTGGGAAGAAATTGCATACTGCTTATGAGGTATAGGGAGGAAATAGGGCGCCACTGATCAAAGATTACAAAACTCTACAAAATGAAAGAAAAGCAACATTTAAAAAGAAAACACTTATTTGTACTTCCTGGATGACATGTGTATACTGCCATGTATTGGATTGTCATAGCCTGCATGCTTCCAGATTCCCACTTAAGTGACACAGGGAATATTTATTCAAAAAGAGATGAGGCTACATATTCCTAATACAATTTTAATAGTGTTATTGCATGCTAGAAACTTATCATAATTTCTAAAACTAAAGTTCAATCAAAACTGAGACTAGAAAAAAATATCTACAAAATACCCAGAAAATCAAGAGCTTCCAAGAATCCTACATAAGCCCCTCTCTACCTGGCAAGGATAGACTAACAAGCAATCTGAGAAGCAATGCCTCTAAGCCATTGACAGGTGCTCAGTGTGCTGGAGAATGACCTTAGCAATTCTGCTTTTACTTCCTGGGTGCTGGGTTTCTAAACTAAAGGAATTAAGAAAACTGGTCCTACTGGTTACTCTCGGGTATCCTTGTCTAGCTTCCTCAGATGATAAAAAATTGAGGAAAGAAAACCCCACATGTTTAAGTGAAGCTCAACATGTCCCCTTTATTACCTAGTTATACATGAGTATTGACTTCTGTCTGACTCCATCCCAAGTCTTGTCTGGCTCGATTCCAAGTCTTGTTATCTCCTCATTCAGGGACCCAGTACATTTTCTCCACAGTTTATTTTTTTCAGTGCCTGACTTTAGTTGAGGTCAAAATTATCCATAGAATTGATATTAAAAATATTTATTAGGTATTGGATAGAGAAGACCATTATTAAATTGATCATTCAAAGGCAGTCACCATAAAATACTAGAAAAGTAGATTTGTTTTCAAATTCCAATTTTTTCGATTTGTACAAGATCATATTTATTTTAAATTAATCTGCAAAAGGTTGTAAGATGCATTCATAAGAAAAAATCACACTTTTGGGTTCAAGATATTCCTGAAAATCAAACCTCGAAGTACTGGAAATGTGATTTTGTTATAAGTAGGAACTTCGCTATAGTGGGGAAATGAAAATGTCCAACCAATATGGACAAGCCGACTTCACTCCACAGCCCTATAAAGAGCATTAATGAACATAAGTTAAACTTTGACCTTCTGAAGTTATGAGCCAGGAAAGACTGGCTGCAGGTGTTAGGAAAGATGACACAGAGTGTTCACCTACTTTCTCACACTGCTGGAAAAATGTGGATTAGTAAAACGTTTACAGAGATGAAGATTTGGAAAATTGACATACAGCTGAAGACACTGTTTTGCCCTCCTTTTCCCTAGCAGGTGAACTCTGAAATATTTGTCAATGAAAATTTTTCCTCCAACACTGTTTTTTATGGCAACGAGTATTTGAAGAGAAATTTAAAATCCAAGAATAAAGATGGATCAAACACAAAATAATACATTAATCTAACATTGGTCCTGCTTCTTCTTTTGTTCTAAGATTTATTTATTTATTGCACATGAGTGCTCTATTTGCATGACTCCAGGAGAGAAGATCAGATCCCACTATAGATGGTTGTGGGGCACTGAAAATCCAGTGCTCTTAACCACTGAGCCATCTCTCCAGCCCTGTGCTTCTCTTGTACTGTAGAAAGTTTAAAGTCTAGGGAAAGCACAGTGTTACTGGTCGGGGAAAGGTAGATATGAAGGTACTTGATGGTGGGTACAAGAATGATACTTTCAAATATATTAGAATCTGTAACTCAGAAGTTAGGGATTTTGATTATGACGTTTCCTTTACTTGTACATGAAATTACTTGTTCCAGGAATATATCTATATTGCTTTAATAAGGAATTAATATGTTGCTTAGATCCAAATAATCCCAGAAATAGTCACAAAGGTTTTTTTTTATCACCTTGAATGAGTAAAACATGAAATTTGTTAAAAGTGTTTCAAGTATAGAAATCAACATCATATTTTTTTCTTGAAAATAGAGGAAACTCTTCATAAGGTTTTGCTTGTTTTACTTTTGTTAATTATCCCTCAGAGGTTTATATCCAGCTTGCTAGAGTTTAAGAGCTGTTGATCATTGAGTAGGGTAATGAGTCATGGGATGAGGCTGAGGCTTGGGGAGAGGTGGGTGAAGTTGGCTTCTTATATTCCTGTGTGACTTGGGGTGAGTCTCCATTTTCTTACTGATACCTTACTGAGGATGGCAGTAAGAACTCATAGACTACTGAACGGGCCCTGTTCTCAGTGGCTTACACATATCAACTCATTTAATTATCTTATCAAGCCTATGAGTTATGGACTACATCACATCACACACCCTCATCTTATAGATGAGCAAGCTCGGTGGTTAAGTTCGAAGTAGGTCAAGTAGTAGCTAAGTTGTGCTTAAAACCCGAACTCTTAACTGCTGAGCTTTGTGCCCATCTGATAGCTATCTGAGGCTGATTCCATGGAAAGTGGAGGGAGTGCTTCTTGGCACCGTGCTTGGCACACAGGAGGCATTTGGTTAAACATAACTGCTAGTTGTTGTGGCTGCATTTTGTATCTGATTATTAATGCTTGTGGGCCTCTAAAATAATAATGCAATGGCAACATTCTTCTGGCTATGTCTTTTATTTGGATGAAATCTTTTTCAACCCTCAGCAACTCATACAGATATTTTCAAATACCCAAAGAGCAATTATAACAGAATATTTAAAAGACCATTTTAAATTCCACTTAACTCCTCTGACACTAAATTATTGAGGCGTGTGTCTGCAAATTCTCAATAGAAGTATGCCCAAATAGCACAATCCTATATCGCTGATCTCAAAAAGCTAAATACTTCATGCTCTAAAATACAAAATTAATCTGAATGTCGGCATTTACCTATAACACTCATGTAACAGGTTAAAGTTCAGGAACTCTAAAAATAAGTAAAATGACCAACAGCTATGTTTTTAAAGTAGTCATGAAACAGTAAATAAATTTTACTTTTGGGGTGGGTCCTATTCTGTAGCTTTCTCAAGGTATATATGAAAATGCCTCAAAGTATAAAAAATTGCAATCCAGAACATTTCCAATCTCAAGGATTTTGGATAAGGTCTATTCAGTCTGTACTCTTAATGCTAACTTTATATTTTGGTCGTATTATGTAGTACCCCATTTCTTACCTATTTTCTCTTTACGTATATCACATTCATCTGCACCTGATTCCAGGGACCAAGGTGGCAGACCAGTCATGTTTCCAGCACAATGAAGGTGGCTCAAAGTACGGATACTGTCACATAGAGAATGGCACGCACGTGCCCTGCAAAGCAAAGTAAGTGACTGTATTTTTTGAATCTTTCCCCCACAGTCCCCTCTGGTACAACGGCACATTTCCTCCCACGTATCCTGGCTAATTCTAGTTCAAGAGAAAATGATGTCTGGTCTAGAGAGATAGTTCAAAAGTTAAGAGAACTTGCTGCTACATAGAAGACCTGGGTTCAATTCCAGCCCCACATGGAGGCTTCCAACCACCTGTAGCTACAGTTCCAGGGAAATCAGAGCCCTTTTCTGACTTCCTCATTCAAATGATACACATACATACACGCAGGCCAAATGGCCTCTCTCTCTCTCTCTCTCTCTCTCTCTCTCTCTCTCTCTCACACACACACACACACACACACACATACACACTTAATATAAATATATCTAGAAAAGTATTTTAAAAAATACTTTTTCAATCAGATGCATTTCATTATGAGTTTCTGGGTAGAAATTTTATCTACCCAAAGAAACAACAAATATATATATTAAATTTGTCATGACATTTGCATGAGAAAGACTATACTAAGTAATGTGGCGAACAAGTTACCTAAAGTATTCATTTTAATTTCAGTATCGGTATCCTGAAAGAAAGGTACAAAATTATACCAGATAAACTTGAGAATTTTTTTTACATATATGTTCTGCCACTCTAAGATTCAAATTCAACTCAAATATTTTGTTTTTCGATTCAGTTTTAAATATATGCATTAAGATGTGTTTGGGTATGCATATGCCACATATGTGCAGGTGCCCACAGAGGCCAGAAGAGGGCATCATATCCCCTGGAGCCGGAGTTACAAGGGTGTGTCTGGAAACAGAACTCTCATCCTGTGAAAGAAAAGCCCTAGTTGGCTTTCTATGAACAAATAAGTGTCTCTCCTGCCCCCTAAGGTGTTTAATAGTGGATCAAATGTTTCATGCCACTTCCAAATTTTGTAGACAGAATTTGTAACAAAAGGTTGAACAGCAGGAGCAATTTTCAAAGCTTTCCTACTGAACACTGACATTGTTAGATAATTAATATTAACAAATTAGTTGGGTGGTAGAGACCCATTGAGGAGATCTGGGCCTAAAGGGTAAATTTTGTCATATGACTTTTCCTTTATAGGAACGCAGAGCAGATTCAAAATGAAACAGCTATGGAAAAGGCCATACACAGGCTCAGCAAAGTGCTCCATAGGGTGGGAAGGGAGCAGGGCTGGTTCATCACTCCTCTGTAGCCTGCGAGTATTTTCTTTGCCTTGATAGTTGTGTTAACAGAAGATATCGAGTATAATAAGAAACTCAGATATTTCACCCTCTTCCAGAACCATTTAGTCCCATTAAGGACTATTAAAGCCATGGCCTGTGTTGGGCAGTTATCTCCACACTTCCTGTGTCCAGCACCATCCTTACAGGCTTGTCACGAATCAGCCTCTGACTACTGAAGAACACCCAGTGGAGTCTGGAGAAGCTGTGACTTCCTAAGTTTACCAACCCTATTTTCTCCAACCGCAAGCAGTAACAGAAAAGCCCGTTCTCTCCCTTCTAGACAACTTGTTCACAGGCGTCCTCCAAATTTCGCATACATCACTTAGCTGTGACCATATTGGATTTGGCTTTTCTTGGTTTTTCTGGTGGTCGGTGAATGGCTTCCCTGAGAGTTGAGCAGTTTAGCCTGCAGATCCAAAAAGAGTGCTCTGAGGGCCACACGGACTGCTTGGATTTGTCAAGAGATCACTGGAGTTGTGTAGACCACCCTGTTGTGGAAAACTGAGGCGTTTATCTTTTAGAGTTTATCTGAGGGAAGTAAAATAGTACAAATAAATGACTGTCTAGGCCCCTGTGTAAGGTCAGGAACCTACCCTTTGTGTATCCTCTAGCTCCGCCCACAAGCTCTTCTCTGTCAGTGGTTGCCTCACCATCTCCACCTATCACAGCCAGCCCCAATTTGCCTTCTATTTCTGTGATGAAACACTGTGACCAAAAGCTACTTTTGGAAGGAAGAATTTGTGTGACTTACACTTCCAGGCTCCAGCCCATCACTGAGGGAAGTCAGAGCAGGAACTGAAGGCAGGAACCTGGAGGCAGAAGCTGATGAAGAGGCCATGAGGGAGTTTTAATTACTGTCTCCACTCCCTATGCCTTGCTCAGTTTGCTTTCTTACACACCCCAATACTACCTTCCGAGGGACAGCACTGTGATGCTGGATCCTCCTTCAAGAATTAATCAAGAAACTCTCCCCCAGAGATGCCCATAAACCAGTTTGATGGGGACAATTCCTTAATTAAGATGTTCTCTTCCTAGGTGACTGCAGTTGGTGTCAAGTTGATGAAAACTAACCAATACACTTTCCATCATCTAAACTGGGGGGTGCCCATAAATGTGGTGTGTTCCCTTATTTAAGGCCATCTTCTAGAATTTAGGCCTAAGATTCTGCCCCTACCCCTATTAGCCTTAACTTAGACAATTGGCAAAAATTAGTTGTAAAGGAATCTGTACTTAAGAAGCAACACATTTTGTTAATTTCTGAGGGTCCTATGAGTGCAGAATAAGGGCATTGTACATAGGCAGAACCAGAAGTCATTGCTATTAGAAAAATATTATTTTTTTAAATATTGATAAGCAAAGGTTGATTTACGCTTGTATAAGACTGAAATTTGAGTCCTGGGGTAAAGTTTTTGATTTTGTTGTTGTTGCTGTTGTTTGTAGAGATGCCATGTGTGGGAAGTTGTTCTGTGAAGGTGGGTCACATAATCTGCCGTGGAAAGGACTGACAGTATCTTTTCTGACATGTAAATTATTTGCTCCTGAAGACACCAGTCAAGGAATAGGCATGGTGGCCAATGGAACCAAGTGTGGACAGAACAAGGCAAGTTGAAATTGTACTTCCACAATTCATTATCCTACACCCACACGTGTACCTGGATTTTAGCTCAGTACTGTTTCTTACAATTTCTGTAATCACAGTACACACACTGCTAGGATGATATAGGATGTAGAAGAACAGAAGAAAAACTAACAGAGGCTGAAATAAATAGGACAATTATTATCTCACACAGTGGTAAGTTCAGAGAAACAACAGCCTGCATGGTAAACCCAGTGATGCAATGCCACCACCAAGGACTGAAAGTGTCTCTCCTTGCCTCCTGCCATCTCCACGCTCTACATGTTCACACGCGGTGCTCACCATCCAGCACTGCAGGGGCAGGCAGCACGTGGCTGTCCCGTGTGCATCTTTTCTTAAGAAAAGAAAATTTCACTGAGACATAGTTATGAACACCGAGGTGTCGTGAGCTTTCATTGCCCAAAGTTTTACCACCCAATCGCTTGCAGTGTACCTGACAAAGGACAGGGAAGTACCACGTGGCCTATGTTTGTTTAAACTCACCCACAGGACACCGGAAAGCATTTGTCATACAAGGAAGCACATAGATACCCAGTGTATTAATAAAGTCAGGTGTCCACAGCCATCTTCCTTGTGTGCCAAACAATTCAGATTAGTAATGACCCTTGAACTCTACTTCAATACATTTGGATATTTACGGTTGAAAGTTTCCCATTTGCTTTTGACAGAGCATTTTATTCAAAGGCAATCATACAGGAAATCGAAATGTGAGAAAAGATGAGAACAGAGCCACAGCCCACACCTGTGGTCCCTCCTGTCTTCCACAGAGTTTCATGCTCACGTGGGTGTGCTTTGATTTATGTGTGCCTGCACCCATCTCTCTGATAGTGTTTAACTAGTGCCCAAGATATGCTTATATCATGTTATCAAACTTGGTACATATTTTAGTATTTACATCTTTCTTTTTTTAGTTTTTGAGACTGTCAGACATATATGCAGTGGAATATGACCAGATACACCTCCATTTCTCCCTCCAACTCTCCCAGCATCCTCTCCAACACTTCCCCTTTACGACTTCGTTGTTATTCCACTGCCCTCGTCATCTTACTGCTCCTTCTCCTTTTAATAGCTCACTAAGTACTACAATTAGTGCTGCTCATAGGCACAACGATATGGGGCCATACCATACACTGGAACATAAAATCCACCAGTTGTCACACACTCATAGAAAAACAACTCTCTCTTCTTCAGAAGCTGTCCATTGCCAATAGCTCCCTAATAAAGGTTGGGACTGAAAATCATCTACTACATCCATGCAGAAATGTTGGTTGGCTTAATCTTATGTAGACCTTGTGCAGGAAACTGAAACAACTCTAGCACTCCTGGGCATAAACACAAAGGCAATTTGTATCCTACTATAGAGATACTTAAATCCCCATGCTAATTATAACTTTCTACACAATAGTTAGAAAATAGAACTAACTTAGGTGTCCATCAACAGAGATGCAGTATCTATACAAAATGGAATATTAGTGGCGAGGAAAATTGAAAGCACCAAACTTGCACATAGATGGGTAGAAATGAAACAAATTATTGTGAGTGAGGTGATTCAGGCTCATAAAGACAAACTTTGTCAATTTTGGTGCTTCAAAACTGGCAGGTGCCCAGTCAATGACAGCGTCTCTAATAATGGTACAGAGAAGAAGAAGTATGGCATTTACTTTCTACTCACAGTAGTTACTGTAGTAGCATCATATGTAATGGGATTCCAGCACTCCCTTCCAGATGTTCATTACATCACTGATGAACATAGTTCATAGTTCATCAGTGATGACCATAGTTCTGTGGTTAGTAATAGGTCCAAATGTGAGGAGCTGTTAGGTGAAAAGAAATACCTATTAGGAAGGAAGCAAAGGTCATCTTAAGATGGCTTTCTAAATATTTTATTATATACTAAAAATTATAGAGGTTGGTCTGTCTGAAAACCTGCTAGTGTTTGCCTAATAAAATGTTGAGTTTAGTTGCTGTTAATTCATTGGTCAGCAGCTCTTGCTGCTATTTCCTAGTTCCACAAACCCATAGAGCTCACAACTGCACAAAACTGCAATTCTAGGGGATCTCAAACTCCTTTCTGGCCTCTGCATCCACTGGCATGCATATGACATCCACTCACAGACACATGGATGAAAATAATAGTAAGAAATCTTAAGTAGACACAACAGGCCATCTGCACATATGAACTCAAAGCTGTTGTGACGGCATGAACAAGACCAGTGCGAGCTCAACCAGACAAAATCCTCACAAATAGCCGGAGGTGGACACAAAGCGCCACCTCTAGCTGAGCTATTGTTGGCATCTGATGGCTAATGGAAGAGATGATTTTCTCTAAAATTATATTCCCTGGAAAGCCGATGACACTCTTGTGGAAGGCCACACGTTCAAGAATATTTTGACAGCATACATCGATTCTAATTTTTTGTTTTAAAGACATCATATGGGTGGGTTGGGCCTGGACGTGGAAAAAGTTGGGGGAGAAAATACGATCAGAACATGTTGGAAATCCTCAAGGATCAAGGAAGTAATAAAAAGTCCTTTTAAAAAGATGAGTTTGACGACATAGAACTGATGGACAATTTAAGACTTAATTCCTGCCAGTCATTGGCAGAGGTGGAGCCGCTGGAAGCGCTCCATTGAGTTCATGCTTCCATGTCATTTCAGGTGTGCATTAATGCAGAGTGTGTGGACATGGAGGAGACATACAAGTCAACCAACTGCTCCTTGAAGTGCAAGGGGCATGCAGTAAGTTTGGAACGCAGGTGTCCCCAGTTCAATAAGCCTTATGCCATTTCAGTTCTGTTGCGATGAGGCTGAACTCGTACGCTCAGGGCTCAGCGACCACAGTTATCATGTTTATAAACTGACACTCAGGCATATATAGCATGGGACACTGCTTCTGAGAGACCATTATTGAAATCTTTGCTTGTCATAAATATTTCTCCTGAGCAGATGGAAGCCAGAGGAGCAGGGGTCCTGCTCATGTCAAAATCCACTTCACTATGAGAGAATGGGGCCTTGGATGATACACTGAGTCTCATGGTGACACAGCATCCTTCTTCCACTAGGTGTGTGACCATGAGTAGCAGTGACAGTGCAAGGAAGGATGGGCCCCTCCTGACTGTGAGGATTCTGCCACAGTCTTCCGTAGGTAACTCTGCATCTCTGGCCTGGAAACCTGTCCCCTTTGGCCAAGCTCTTCCTCTGTATTTGTATTAGTCACTTTCCTGCTGCTGTGATAAAAATGCCCAACAAAAGTGACTTGAGAAGAGGTAGGCTTGTTTAAGGATGTCCTCTGTTTTGGTGGGAAGTCCTGGTAGCCAGGGAAGCATGAGGCAGCTGGTTACATTGCTTCCAGAATCAGGAAACAGAAAGATGACTGCTGGTGGCCACCTCTCTGCCTCTTCTTTTTGAAAAAAAAAATGTCATTTTATTAAAATCTGTTTCATAAAATGTATTTTGAATATATCTTTCCCCCTTCCCTAACTTCTCCTAGATTCTCTCTATATTACTACTCAGACAGCTTCATGTTGTTCCTCTCTCCTTCAAATAAAAGATCAAAACTGAAAAAAAAAATAGAAAAAAATGAGACAAAAAAATACCAAAACAAAACAAAAACTGCTCAGAAACACATGGAGTCCATCTTGTGTTGGCCAACTACTCTCAGACATGGGACTTGTCCTGGAGTGTGATTAATATACCCAGTGAGATCCCACTTGAGAAAACAGACTTTGGCTTTCCTAGTGATTATCAATTGTAGATAATTTTTTGTTTATGGGTGGGAAGATATGTCTACTTCCTCTTCTTTCTGCTGCGAGTCTGCCTAGTTTGAACCTGTGCAGGTCCTCCTGTGCATGCTGTCACAGTCTCTGTGAGTCCATCTGTATTAATCCAGTTGTGTCTAAATTGTTCCAATCCCTGGGACTTATCCATCACCTCTAGCTCTTAAAGTCTTTTTGTATCCTCTTCTGCATAGATCCCTGAGCCTTGAGGTGAAGGATTGATAAAGACATCTCATTTAGTACTGATCTCTGCCTCTGGCCCAAGGAATGGGTCCACCAACAATTAGGGTAGATCTTCCTACCTCATTTAATCTGGAAACTTACTCACAGATACTCCTGGAGTTTGTCTTCTGGATGATCCTAGTTCCTTCACCTTGACAGTATTGTCTTTTACTCTAGGATATAGGGTTCATTGTCTTTTTTTTTTCCTCATCAAATTTCTGTTCTGTAGCTATTGTACATATGCTAATCACCCCCAAATTTTCTTTAGCAATATTCAAATAAGGTTTTCAATACTCTTACACTGTCAAACTTCATACAAAAAGATAAATTCATTTGTAATATTACTTTACTATATCTTGTTTTCTTGATTGCTTTATGTTTTATCTATTTTCACAATGCTACACGATTGTTAGCTAATATTAACTCATGAGACTCTCTGAGAACATGACTTGGATTATGGTGGTAGGTCTATATTCTGCTTTCTGAGTTAGTTTTCTTTATTTTGAGGTATGCTTTCCTATTCATTCAAATGCTGCCTACAGGTGGGCTGTCTTGTTCACCCAATATTGCTTACAGATGCTCTCCAGTTCATCCACATGCTGTCCACATTTCGTTTGGCTCTTTTCCTTTGGCGTGTGTGATCTTTGTTAGACCAGGGGATAAGCTGACTCAACCTGGTTTAATGAGTCTTCCTCATTAAACAAATGGAGTGTTTGTTGGGTAGAAGATAATACTCAAAGTAGGAGGCAGGACATCCTATAGGTCGTCAAGGAGAGAATAAGCCACAAGGGAACCTTGACTTTCATTGTCATCAGGAAGAATACTCAAAGCTGAGAGAGGGCTCTTTATGAATTCCCTTCTTTTTTTTTCTTGTGCACCCTCCTTGAACTCCGTTCTTTGCATGGCTTGGGGTGGGTGTCTGGAGCCAGATTCAGCCACCTTTGGGTACTCCTGTACCAAGCACCAATTTCTCCAGAGAGAAATTCCTGGAGTTTTGTCCCAGGGTTTGTTGAAACTATATCATTCTGTGTACACAGAGGATGGGAATGGAGATGTGCTTAGGATGGGCCTGAATAAACTGTCCCAAGTTCAAATACTTTTTTAGGCATTTTAAACAAAAGAATAACATTTAATTTTAATGTTTATGCCTCAACTTACTTCTTTTGTTTACCCAATTCCTTTACTTCCTATCTTCCTGAAGATTCTAAACTCCATTACCTTTTCACATTATAAGATGTTATTATATGATATATTATTAACTGGATTTATCATGTTTGGGGTGGGGTTGCAGGGTAACTCAGAACAGAGTCACAGAATCAACAACTTAATTAGAAAGCTTTTCGATGATTCCAGTTTTCACTAAAATAACCTTAAAGTGTGATTTTTCTCTTTTTGAAGACTTTATTTTTATTCATCTACTAACTGTGGACGTTTTGAACTCTTATTGGGTTGGTGGAAGTTCCACATAAAATTTTGACATTATCCTCATTGATCCATTCCATAAAGCTCGGAAGAAATACTGATACCCAGTGGATCACCCAACCAGTGCACAAGCACAGAGAGATGGGTGGGCTGAGATCTGCAGGCTGCAAGAGCTATGGCATTGGGAAGGGGCCACAAGGTCCATCGTTCAGTGGGGGGTTCTTATCATTCAGCCTGGAGAAGACACAGTGTTCTCTGGCTCCACTGTCACCATTAATATAAGCAATTCTTGTAGCAAAATTCATGCCCAATAAATAATTTAAGAACACAAGCTTATGCGTAATCTTTAAGGAAGTTTGTATTCATTCAACTTTCTAGATTGTATTTAAGAGTGTTTATGTCCAAGTATTTCTGTTTATATAGAGCTAAATAGAAATAGTTTCAAAGGATCCATAGAAATAAGATTAGGCTTTTTAAATCAGGTCTTCTTTCATAACTATATTGGAATATACACTGCTTTATTTTGTCCTGTTTAACTGACAGGGAAAAACATAAGAGTGTATGTACTTATGAAATACCATATGGTATTTTGTCACATGTTTACATTACGTAATCTTGAGGTCAATTTAAACACAACTGCTTCTTCAGACATTTATCATTTCTTTTATTTTGGCTGAGATAATTGTTTTATTTTATAATCTGCTGTTACTTTTTCTGGTTTAGACTGAAATAATTTAAATTTACTTGGTGAAGTCTGTAAAGTCATATACCACATACATGTTTTTCTACTGTATTATCTCATGTGCAGAAGTAGGAAGCAGTGTGCTTTGCAAACATAAACATATCATTAATTTTTCGCCCTGATAAATAGTATTTAAGAGGTAGACATATATTAGGCAAATCACTGTTTTTAATTGGACTCTCATCCTAGCAAAGTCAGGGTCAGCCTTATCTCTGCACAGACTCTAGTTCGTCCATAAACACGGTTGTCATGTTACAACTTCACTACGTAGCGACTTATAGACTCTAAAAGCATGAGTAGAACTAACTTCTTCTACGCATCAAAAGACCCATAATATGTGTGTAAAAAAGTAAACATGCTGCATACATATGTTATCAGATAAACTACAGTGAAGAAATCCATCATTTCTCTATGGTAAAAGGCCCTCATAAATTCTTGTTCCAGATCTTTCAACTGTGCAGTGAATTTCTATCTATGCTACCCCATGTGTGTAATAACCAGAGTTCATTAGTAGCTGACTACTACATATCCCACGAACCCGTCCCCTGGTCTCCTCACCAGTACCCTACCACCATCTGCTACCTAATATGCAGGAAAATGGGGTTTTTATAGTTATTATTTAGTTAATACTTAGGACAACCATTACATGACAATCAAAGAATATATTATGTGGAATGTATTCTGAAATTAATTTAAGCTAACTTTATGGTTTATCACATAGTCATGTGTGCAGGTTTTCTGTGTATGAACAGAAAACACAGTAACATGAAGTTTAAACTTGTGTCCTCCTGTGTCTACATGTGTTCTGTGTGCCAAGTTGGTCTGTACCATTGCTCCTATATAATTCCAGCTACTAGTTTATTTTCTTTATTCTACCAGTTACCGTGTAGAAACCATAAAAATAACCACTCTGAAGATGTATTTCGGGGGAGGTGAGATGGTTCAGTAGTGAGGAGCACTTGTTGCTTTTATGGAGGACGCTGGCATGATTCCCGGCACTAACTCCAGCTCTAGGGGATTTGTCACCCTCTTCTGCCCCTTCACAGGGTGCACACGCATACATGCAATTAAACACTCATACATAAATAAAAATAAATAAACCTTTGACTTAATTTTGATGTTATAACCTGGTACTGTCTATGACTGTCTGATTAGAAGTCATGGTAGTATACACATGCATATTTAGAATAGTCATATCTTCTCAATGGATTAAGACTGCCTTCATTGTGAACTGCTGCTCTGTGTGTCTCTATTGCTGCTTGCCTTTTAAAGCCTGCAGTTCCCGGAGACCAAGACGGCTGAAGCATAATTCTGCATCTGTTTGTGTTGCTATAATATCTTCACATTTACATTCATCCTTATAATATCCTCACATTTACATTGATCCTTTTTAAATCCTCTTGAAACCTGAATATTATGCATTTAAATTATGAAGTTAAGAAAATTATGCATTTAAAAAATCTTTGCTATCTCACATACCTTTGGGTTTGGATTTATTTTTCAAAATTTATTTGGAGAACAAATTACTAAAGTGCTGGGACACAAATCATCAGTTATATTGGGCAGTTTCTATGTATCTTGTCTCATCTAAGCTTTTTTTTGCTAGTTTTTAATTTATATTTTGTGCTGTATTACAAACCAGTTGGCCATTTTGTTCACCACTTTACTCTTTTTATGAATTTTGAGAATAGGAAGTTTTTCATTCTATTAGTTGTCCTAAAAATTTCCATATCTTTTTATTTGTTCAACAAGATTTTAGAGTGATTGTAGATACATAGCAACACTGAGCGCAGTGTTCAGGGGTTCACTTGTACTCCTGCACCCCCACTGTTGGGGTGGTGCATTAGTGACCGCCAATAAACATATATTGAGATCCCATTGTCATTCAAGGCACAGCTCCTGTCAGGGTTTGCTCTTGATTCATTTACTCTTTCTCATTTCCCGTGTTTCTAAACGTTCCTCGTCCTCTTCTTCCTGCTTCTCATTTTTGGTTGTGAGTCCTCAAGATGACATCTAGGACCTTATGCATGCTAGGCTCTTCCACCAAGTTACATCTGAACCTTCTTGCTGGGATCATTTTCCTCTTCCTCTCTGTCTTTTTAAAATTATATTCCTGTTAGTATGTTAAGAATCCCATACAAAGTATTCTGATAGTATTTACTCCTCTCTCCCACTAGCCCAAGATTCAACCCTCTTACCTGCCCAATCCATCCAACTTCGAGTCATTGACACCATCTTCTTCTGCTCTTCTTCCTCATCTGATCCAATATTGGTGCCCTGGAGTGTGCTGACCTGCTAGGGGTCATGCCATTAAAGAAACTGATTCTCTTTCTTTTTTATTTTTCTAAATTCTTACTACCTCATTAATATCTAAAAAAAATCTATTTTAGAACTTTCATGGATATAGGAGTTTTGTAAAAACTTTATGCCGATCAAGACCTCCATTGCTAGCAATAAAAGAAGCTGGATTTGCTGTTCAATTATTTCTCTCTTCAACTGCCCACTTACTGTCTGTTAATATATTATTTCTTTTACCCCAAGCCACAACTTTGTCCTCTCTGATTTGGCATGTTTGTAAGCACTGACAGTATTCCAAGTACTCTGTCTGATATGATGTTTTTTAAATACATATTATTCTGACATTAGTTCTAATGTGTCCGCTCTTCCCCATTCTTAAGCTAAGCTCTGTCTCACAGACATGCCACAGCATTTGATTTTTCTCTGATTTCCTTGAATAAGAATTTTATGGAAGCTGAAAAGAATTAGATATTTGAACAAATGCCATTTTCTTATCTTGAATTCTACTTTCTGGGGTATCAACCTTTTCCTGTGTATTTTGCCTTCACACTTGTCAAATTTTCCTGTATTTTTGGAACTGTCAGTCTTGCTGTTGGACGATGGACTAAGAGCAGCAGCTCCCCTGCTCTTCAGATGTGTGTGCTTTCTGGTTTCTGTTGATTTCTGATGATTAGAAGAGAAACAAAACCTTGAGATTGGCCAGGATCCAGGCTGAATGTATTACTTAGACTAGGGCGTAAAAACAAAGACAATTTATGAATTATGTCCTGTCTTTTTTTTCTCTCTCATTACCCTGCTCTTTATTTGCCAAGGGGGCAATACCATCTCTTTCTTGTTTCATTCCAAGGCTGGATTTAAAATACATTTTCCCTGCTCAGCCATCCTCGTTATTCCATATCGTCCTGTAGTCTCCCAGCCTTCACTCTCCTATTACTGCTGCCAACCTTCTTCCATTTAAAGAATTTTCAGTAAGAAGCTATTTAACCCACCTCCTGTATACTTTTACTTGCTTTTTATAGACATTAGCACTGTGATCAAGATCATGTTTGCATTTTACCAACTCTGTTAGATTTTTTTTCCTTCTCTTTCTTGTTTTTTTTTTTTTTGATAGAGTACTTGATAAATGTGTCTTAAGGAAGGAAGGGCTTGCTTTGGTTTAGTTTTGTGGTTACAGTCCATTATCGTAGGGAAGACATAGTAGCGGGAGAACAGAGAGCTGACAGGTCACATGGCACCTGCAGTCAGGAAGGAGAGAGAGAGAGAGAGAGAGAGAGAGAGAGAGAGAGAGAGAGAGAGAGAGAGAGATGAATGCAGTACCCAGAGGTCTTTTGGCTCGTTCCTCTCTTCAGTGCAGACTGGGAACCCAGTCCATGTCTAGAGTGAGTCTTCCCTCCTCTCCTTCCACAGATCAGAAGACAATTAATCAGCAAATATAACTCTCCAGGAAGACAGGTTCATTTTATAAAAACTAGATAAAATTTGTAGCAAATAAGTGAGGCCAGATGCAATGGCTTTCTATTGTAATTCGGTTACATGGGAGACTGGAGGATCAAGGCAAGTTTGAGATTAGCCTGGGTTACACAGTGAGTTCAAGGCCATCCTAGCCTACCTAGCCTGGCCAGATTCTTTTTGAAAAGTAAAGAACAAAGGGAGGGAGGGGAAAAAGGAAAAAAGAAGGGAGGGAGAGAGAAAATCAGGAAAAGAAGGAAGGAAAAAAGAAAGGAAGGAAAGATAAAAGGAGGCAATCTAGACTGAGACAAGCTTCTTGGTCCTCAGTAGGGTTTCTGAGCTCTCTGTTGTAGATTTCTCCATCGTGGTTGGTGTGCTCTTCCCTCTGGCAGTCATATTTGTGGTGGTTGCTATAGTGATCCGGCATCAAAGTGCCAGAAGGAATCAGAGGAGAGTTCAGAGGTAAGCCTTCATGTGCTTTGGAGACCCTTTAACCTCTACTTCATTTAACATTGGATTCTATGGCTTAATCCTTCTGGTTTAATTTTATTTTACTTCATATACTAAGAAAACCACACAGGTATGGTTTTCACTGACCACAGACTGGGTATCCCTTCGACTGGGCAATCTTTTGCACCCAGATACAATTCTTTTCTCCTTGGAGTAGCTATTTTTGTAATTAATAATAGCAGTGACATTGGGCCTCATTATTAAATATTTCTGCACTTATTATTAGAATAGAAGAGAGCATATTAATTGTCTGACAGTTGTCTGGTAGACATTGTGCTGAGGTTTTCCTATCATTTCTTTTAATCGTTGAGAAGACTTCATGAAACAGCTGCAGTATTCTCACTCTCTGGATGAAATGTGACCTCTTTGTCCCTTAGGATAATGGAATTCACATTTAATAAATGTAGAGGAGACAAGAAGGTTAACAAAGGCCTCTGCATTCTTCAAAAGTGAGAAATTGAGGCTTGATTGGCATGGAGATCCTTTCTCTTACAAACCATCTTAACAAGATTATTTTCCATCACTTTCTGAGACTGAACTATTTTGATGGAACTTATTTCATACAAAACGACTCTTAGGGAAATATTTAAGGAGTTAAAAATAATCAAATGTCATGACTAAGATAAAAGTTGACTTATTATCATCATCATCTTTGGGATAAGGGTTCTGCCAAGAACCCAGTTATTATCCACAGGATAATAATGGTGGATAACTTGCAACTAAAAACTGAGGGATGTTCAGGAAGCACACAGAACCCTGGTAGTGGAGCAGGGCACAGTGGGAAAAGGAAGTTGTTCATCCTCTGTTGAGTTTTCCTGGCATGCTGAAGATGCTGTTCAATTCACAGGACATGTTTTTACTTTTAGGTCACTGCCCACTAAGGATGCCAAGATGCACAAACAGAAGTGTAAATCCCCAAAGGCGAAGCCGGTTCAACTCCAGGAGGTGAATTCAAGTTTGAACTGTTTTTTTTTTTTTTTTGTGACACCCGAGGTTATGATTTACCCCTTTCTTATATTATTCTGACCGTACATCTGTCATTTGTGCCCTTAATGCCTAGAAATCTACCCCACATCAGTAGATAGTAAGGACGGTGGACTCTGTGCCCACACACACACAGTCAACTTCCCCTAGTATCTTGTTAACACACAAAAGAATCTTTAAAAAGCCCTTGAAGAAAGGGCTTGTGAAACTCAAAGGGAATAGAGGGAAGAAACGTTGACAGCTTCTCCCTCCCCTTCCTTCCCCCTTCCCTCCTTTTCCCCCTTCTTCACCTATTCTGCCCTCCCCTCCAGCTCATTCTCACTCTGTCCACTTTGACTCTAAGTTCATTATTACTCCTGATAGACTCCTCTCTAAAAGCAATGTATATACTTGTACAGTCAACTATGTAGCATGTAACATGCATGACACTTACAGCTCTTGCCATGTCTTAGATGTTTAGGACTTTGAGCTGAAATAGATCAATAGCGCAGCATCAGTGGTAATGGTTGTGACAGAAGTTATCCCTGGAAGTTCTGGAGAAATCCTCCTATAATGCTACAACCTGGCTACTGGGATCTCTCCTGTCTTACTTATTTCTACGTTTCAGCTTCGCCCTTATCATATAGGCTGGGAAAGGGCAACTTCTCTGCTGACTGTACTTCAGCACCTGGTGGTTTCATTGTAAACTTTAATTTCTTCATTTTAGATGAGTCAGATGAAGAAGCTCCACGTGTCTGAAGAAGCTCTGCCCACTGAAGAGAATGAGCCTCCCCTCAATGTTGTGAGTTAGCAACTTCTCTCTCATCCAGTCCAACCTCAAGGAGATGCTCCTGAAAGACATAACCCATAGTGCTCAACATAATCAATAGTGCTTCTGTTGATTCAGAAGAATGTTGAGATTTGTGTGCATATTAATGTAAAATATAAATTCTGCAAAACTTTAAAATGCAAAATGTGGTAATATATGACTCTACATTTTTATTTCTGAGTTTATCCCTCAAATTAAGAGCATAGAGGTGGAAGTTGGTAATGCAGAATATTCATATCTTAACTGGTTTTTCTGTTGCTGAGTTAAAACATCGTGAACAAAAAGAAGTTGGAGGAAAGGATTTATTTAAGCTTATAGCTTATACGTCCATCACTGGGGAAAGCCAGGGCAGGAACTGGAGCAGAAGCCGTGGAGGAATGCTGCTATTCAGATTGCTTTCTCTGACTTGCTCAACCTGCTGTCTTATACAACTCAAGACTATCTGCTCATGGATGGCAGCACCCACAATGGGTTGGCCCCTCCCACTCTCTCATTAATCATTAATCAAGATGATAGTCCAGAGATCTACATACAGTCCAATTCTGAAGAGTCAGTTCTTGTTTGAGACTTTCTTCTTCCCAGATACATCTAGCTTTGTATGAAGTTGGAAAAAAAAAACAATCCATGCAATTCATTTGCTCCACAGAACCCATTTTTAGCCTAGGTTGATTCAGTAAAGAGTAGCATAGACTACACAGATTAAACATTTATTTATGTTCATTCTTGAGACTGGGAATTCTAAGGTTGAAGATCTGGAATTTCCTGGTGTCTGGTGAGAATTGAGTCCTGGTCCATCAGTTGAGGATAATGGAAAGGAAATGGTGGTAGGGGAGAAAGATTAGGGAAAGGAGAGATACAACTATCTTTTTGTATCTTCATTGATCCAATTCTGAGAACTCCACCTCCAAGAGGTGAAAGCCCCCAAAACCTAACCACCACACTGGGGATTATGGCATCAACATATGATTTGTGTGGATGCAGAAATTAAGTCCACACTAAACAGTCTCATCACATAGCTGTGGACCCTGTGCTTATGTCTGGATCATAACTAAATGAAAGTGCCACACTCATGGGTTTAGAATTATTCATGTGGTTAAGTTTCCAAAGTCTCTGTTCTTAAGAATGAGTTAAACATTTTCAGTACTCACACACATTTTGAAGAGCCTATTTTGAGCTGACTCTCCCTTTTTATCTTCTTCCTAGCTATCCACAAAGCCAAATTTCCCACCACCACCAATTCCTGTTTCCTCGTAAGTATCAGATGGTCACTGGTGGATTTTCTGCCAACTGGCTTTAATCCACAGGCTCTTTGCCAGTGCTCCTTCGGCTCACCTAACCTCATCACAGCACATTTGCTCTGAAGAACCTGGAAAGGGAAGGGCTCCTTCCATAGTGATTTCACAAGGCTACTGAATCTTTATGATAACACAGTAGTCCTTTCAGTTCATAACTGTTGAGAAATAATGGATAAATTTATTGAATATGGCAAATGTCTTCTAAGAAATTGTTTCTGAATGCTCATTATAGAGGACATAAGATTAGATATTTATGAAATGATTGTTATTTCTTTAAGAGGTAGAGGATGAAAAGTCAATCCATGAAGGCAAGCTAGAATAAAAGGCAAGCCTTCTTTAAGTAAAAGGCAGAATCCAGCTACTCATGAGTAGTTCTCATTCCTAACCCTCTGTTGTGTGTAAAAGAGAAAGAGTCAAAGTTCCTTTTATCAAGATGTTTCGCAGTGTTAGTGAGCAAACAATGCCCACATGCCTGGTGTGCCTAATTCCTCAAATACTATTAGTGTCAAAGTGTGCAGTACTAATGAGAAATCATTGTGGTGTCCCTGTGAATGGAGCTGGTGAAGCAGAAGGCCATTGACCTTGTATTTGGAATTGGCCCCAGACACTTGGGTAGCACCGAAGTGAATAGTGAGGGGGTAGGCAGTAATTCCATGAAGGAACTAAGCTTGGCTAAGAGGGGGAAAATATGCCATCTCTACTAACTGACTTACTTTTCCATTTTTTCCTAGTAACACAAAATCATTTTTCTATTTCCAAAATAGGCTCATTTCTTCACCCACTTAAGAGATCTATAATGAAATTATGATTGTCTCTTATCACCCCTAGTGCCAAGGAGAAAAGCCTCTATCGTGTCTTCTACGGTTTTTACTCTAGGGCAGGGCCTGATATTAGTGTCTTGATGATGAGTTTTGTTTTCAATAAACAAGAAAAGGGAGACTGAAAAATGCACAAATACATAGCTGTGGAGACCCAGTTCTTTATTTTCTCATACTAGTGAACAAGAACTGTGTGAGTAGATGCAGCATCCACAGAAATGCTCACATAGATCCTTAACTCTCTCTGCATCTCCTCATCTTAGGAGTCTACTTGCCATGGTCTACTTTCCTATGCTTGCAACTCCTCCCACCTCTGTCCTCCTTCTGCTAACTGTCCACAGGAACATTTAAATCCCAGAGAAAGAGCTGTCTCTCCTTCTACTCTGACCTTCTGCTGTTCCTAGTCCTTCATGGCTGATGTATTAAATAATTTATAATGTAGAGGGCTGGGTTTTAAGGAATGCTTTTAATTTTTTTATTAGCTTCATGTTACATCTCTCTATGAACTTTGATAAATTTTTAGGTTGCTTTGATCATCTAAGAAGTTTTTCTTTCTTTAAGGGATTCAAATGCAAAAGTCTGAAGCAACAGCTAAGCCAGGGTTGATGATCACATGATCAGATTGGAAGCCTGGATGTTTTGGATGGAAAAGAGATATGTTCACTTCTTTATTACTATTGCTCTTGGCACTCAGAGGTCAACATTGCCTAGTTGATGCTGTATTTTGAAGAGACTAAAACTTGCAAGAAAGATACTTTTGAGAACCTTTGTCCTAACTTAAATAATCTCCTTTCCATACTCATAGGAAGATGGCAAAGGAAATATATAAACTATAATACTCTAATTAGTTGGTTCCAACGCTTGGTTTACTATGATGGTGACTGCTTAAATATTTTTGACGACCTGAATTTTCTTCCGCCTTTGGAAGGGATTGTTGTGCTCTCTAATGAAAACACAACAATACAAACAAAACAAAATCATAAGAAGCTGGAGGAGGGTGCATTCTTTATTAAATAAGTAGCAATGTCTTGATTCTATCTACTTGTCAAATTAGAACATCAATTTAAAAATAGAATTATGTAAGTACCTCCTCTTCTAGATGTCTTCAATATCCTTTCTTCTGAAGTTATTTTTTATTCACTTTGCTATTTGGGGAGTTTCCTACAATAGAGGAAAATATTCTTATGAACTAATTTAGTCACCAATTATTTGTGTGCTGACTGCTGGCATTACTAAAGTGAGCTTCCCTTGTAAACAGAGAATGTTCAGTTAAAGAAATGAACATGAACCAGGAGTTGCAAACTGGTGACCTACGGGCAGGGTTTGGATTGCAGATGTGTTTTATTTGCTCTAAATCAAAGATCCTGGCCACACAGCACTATTTTTTTTAAAAAAAAAGATTGTTTTGAGTTTATAAGAAATAATTTTTAAATTGCGAGATCTTGCATAAACATCCAGATTGCTGGATTGTAACAATCAGATGGGTCTGTCAACAACAGAATCACACTTCCCATAACATCTTCATCTTCATGACAGATGCTAAAATGAACATGGTTGGCTGGGTACCAAACACTCCCCTGCCTTGTTTTAAAGACCCTGATTTTACCATTTTTTTAGAACAGTCGATGTAACTCCATACACATAATGTTAACCACTCATGACAATCAGAATGTCCTTGCCTCTGATTCGTTAAGTGAGTGGGTTACTCCCCGCTTTGGCCCTGTGAGATGAGGGAGGAGGTTATGTTGGAAAACTTCTAAGGAATGTTTCCCCATCCATCCTTTCTTCTGCTTGTTGGCATCTGGTCCTGCTGCAGCTGTGTTGGGATCTGAAGACAAGGATGGTGTGGACAAGATAGAGCAGAAAGATAAACAGAATTCAGCTGAACTTTCCTAAGATGTTATTGAGCTGGTAGATTAACAACTGTTGAACTGGCTCCACTTTTTGCTGGGACTTTTTGTACAATCAATAAATTTTCCTTGTTGTGCAAAACATGTCGAGTTGGGTTTTCTCTCATATGAAGTTGCAATCTCCCTAAAGAGTGAAGTAGCTTTGGCGTTACCAAGATGCATGCTCTTTTATAGTCATGGCCACATTCATTTCCCTTTATTATATTTGTGCTGTGACATTCATTGCCAACATCACTTCCAGTGATTCTAGAGCCCACCTGCCAAACAATTCTCATTGGAACCCTTCTTTCCATGTAGGAGTTTCTTAAGTATGGAACTACTTAAGTTTGGTTAAGTCTGGGGGATAAGACTATAAACTTAGAACATCTTATTCTAACCTGGAAATACATCCCTATTTCCTATGAAGTCTTAATTTGATTGTTCCCCAACCCCATTGTTTCTGTTTATTTGCTTGTTTCCTTGAATTAATAACTCTTCCCAGCCACAGATTTACTTTATCCTTTCAAACAACGGCATTTATTTACTATGTATGTGTTAGCTGTCTCCCTCCACCATTCACCACGTGGGTCCTTTACCTACTGAGTCATTTTGCTGACTCCCACGTTATGTAGTGAGTACATGTGTGATGTGATATGTGTGTGTTTGTGTATGTGTTCACACAATCATGCCTGCATGCATGTGGAGCTCAGAGGACAATTTAGTAAAGTCAGGTCTTCCTAGTCATCTTTATGTGGGCTCCAGGGAGTGAACTCAGGTCTCCAGACTTATTCTGCAAGCACCTTTACCTTGTGAACCATTTCACCAGTGCTCACTTTATCTTTTATAATGTTAATGTAAAGTCTTGAACTTAGAACTCTCAAGTAGCCCCTTGTCATACCTGGAGCTTGAAATAAGCCATATATACTCGCAAAGAGCAGTATTTGAACATGAGAACATGAACATATAGAGCAGTGTTTGAACAAGAGAACATGAACATATAGAGCAGTGTTTGAACATGAGAACATGAACATATAGAGCAGTGTTTGAACATGCTGTGATTTTCTAAATGATTTTATTTTCTCCTTGATCAATCAAATAGCTCAAAAGTTCCTAACACATCTACTGGGCTCTAATCACATGGCTCTTTTATCATCTCTCTTTCTCTGTCCTTTATTTTTCTCTTTCTGAAAATTTAGTGGCATGGTCGATCTGATTAATTTCTCTCACACGCACTGTTTCTCTCACTGTTGTCTGTATGATTCCTTGGTGGGCTGGGAGACTTCGGTTTGTTTTCAAACTTACTGATTTTTATGTTGTCAATCTTCTTCCTTAATTTCAATTTGTTTTGCCATTGTTCACCATATTTGGTTTTTCAGCAGTAACAATCCTTTCCAGAAATGTTTAGTGCTAAAATGAATGCGGTATTGCCTCTCAGACTTTTGTGTAAGATTAAGGGCAAAAACTTCACATGCCAATCAGACAGACATCATCTTCCAGAGGTTCCGACTATTGAAATCGGGATTACTGGAGGAGCAGGCTTTGTCTGAGAAGGATTGCTAGAAAACTGGTTACAGCTGTGTTCATGCTTCCATTGTTGTGATGGGAGCTGAGGAAGTAAGACCAAGCAGTGTGAGGAAGAAGTCTTAATATACCTCCGTGAAGGCTTTAACAGGCCATACTCCAGCTCTGACCATGGAGTCATTCTTAGAACAGTACAAGGTCAGAAGACAAAAGAAAAGGTCTTTCTTCTCTAATGTCAACCAATCACAAGTACCAGTTGTCCGCAGCAGAGATGAGGTTTTGGGAATGACTTTGGGATTGGGAGTAACTTTTAAGAAAGCCTGAAGGCTCTTTGCAGGCAATACTGGCAACCACTGGGGGACTTTATGATGCTCAATGGGTACCTTGGCACATGCTGGCAAGGTCTATTATTTATATTTATTTCATTGAACATACTTGGCTCAACTCATAAGGATAGCATTCAAAATGGCTTTAAACATACTCAGGTAACATCTATAAAGATGAACAATGGGAATATATCTGTATACTCTCAGCTGTCCCTAGAGTTTTAGCTGAGAAAAAGGAAAGGATATTTTTGAAGGTGAGTTACTATAGAAGTTTACATCTCAAGGTCTGCCTCACATAGAAGCAAACAAAATGACAAGCAAAGCAAAGATGATGTCCAAATGGCCCAGTTTATCACAACTCACACAAAGAAACAAAAAGTAAAAACAGCAAAAGGGAATAGATGAAGATACCAGTAGGTGAAAATTGGTTGATTTCAAAATGCTAGTGACCACTGCACCTGTAAGAGAAATTATCCAAATGGCTTGGAACATGGTGGTTCTCACTTGGATCCAGAATGATTTAGCAATATATCAAAGTTATGCTCACATTTAACAGGGCCCTCAGAACTGACTGCTTTCAGACTGAGGACCAACAAACAGTCTCAGGGAAGTTAGTGCTAAAATGCCCAGCCTGAATGGACTAGCACTTGGAGTCCTGAGAGATATGTTATCTCAGTTTCAGTGAACTTCATGGCGTCTGATTTGCATTTTGATGAATACTTTTCAATGTGGCTGTCAAGCAGTAGTCAGGGATGACCATCAGCTAGCTACTTGGCTCACTCATGGCTTATGTCACAAGAGCAAACCTCAGATAGGGCTAGTTTTACCTAAGCACAGTTCATCATAATGGCCAGCTTTCACAAAAGCCAAAACACTGCAAAAAAAAAAAAAAAAAAAAAAAACATCACAACAGTGGCTATTTCCCTTCTTAATATCCATGCTTGGAGGAGAGCCACATTGAGTGTCTTGGTTGAGATGAAGCATTTCTGCAATTACAGCACTTACACCATATTCCATATGCTCTTCCTCAGCCTTATTGTATGGATTAATGGGTCTGAGGATCTGCTCTCCAGATGCACCCCTCTAGAGATAAAACAGCAGAGTTGTGTGCAGTGGTAGAGAATGGGATGTTGAGTTTGAGAAACCCTGGCAGTGCGGCCTCAGAAAACCCTGGCAGTGGGGCTAGATGCTGGTTCAAGTTTGGTTTAGTGCAAACAATATCATCATGACAGAGGCAGAGATGAGATGGGTACCACTCTATATGAAGTGATCTGAAAATTTTGGTTGCATAGCCACCAAGTCTCCTTCTCTACACTCTTGCTTCAGATATCTAAGTTAATTTCCTACTAGGTTTTAATTTCGTGAAATATCTACACATAACATGATAATATGGTTCAATGGCTTTACCTACATCCACAATACCATGCAGCTGTGAAGTCCTGCCAGTCCCTAGTCCTTGTCTATCTTCTCAGGGTGTCTTTATCCATCAAACAGTTTCTTCTCATTACCCACTTTCCCAGTTCACAGTAACCCCTATTTCAGTTTATATTTCTGTGAATTTACCACACCAAATACTTCGTGTAAGTAAGGTCGCGTGTGCGCACGCGTGTGTGTGAGGGGGGTGAGTGTGTGTGTGTGCCTGTGTATGTGTGTGTATTTACATGCCTGGATCATTTCTCTTAGCACAGTGCTTTCATGTTTCCCCATTGTGGCAGTAATTATTTGGATTACATCATTTTTTAAGCTTAATCAAACTAATCCCTCTTACTGTATTTATTTCATACTTCAGACTTCAGATTATAGACAAGCCTCTGTGAGCTCAAACACATCAACACCACTCTCATTTGTGCTCACGTTTAAGCCAAGAGAACGATTTCTAATTGTCATCTTTACTTATACTTCTGTGTAGACAAACCTAAGCTGATGATTTTATCCTCTCTACTCTAGTGTTGTACAAATGTCATTTTAAATTTGAGTTCATGACATCCACTTTTTTCACAAGAACCACATCCGAGGTTGTTTGGAAAACATTGATCAAGCACCTGTCTGCATTCCTGTGTTGACATCTCAGTTCTGTAACTGTCATGGGAAAGACAGTTTAAGGAAGTTCACAAATTCACTTAAGTTAAAAAAAAAAAAAACAACAAAAAAAAAAAAAACCAGAAAAAATGAGTATGGCTGTCAGTTTCCCATTGATGTCCCATAACGTTCTTAATTGGAGACGACAGTCACTGGCCTGCAAGGGTTTCAAGCTAAGTGTTATGACTCAACAGAGAAACGGCCCCTCCCTGCCCCCATGTAAGTCAATACATCCCACTAAATTGACCTAAACTCTTCGGCTGCCACGGTAACTTGCTGAGACATGTGTCTTTTGTGCCTATAAATGGTATGGGGCCTTTGGAATCCAGCTTCAAGCAGGACGTCTTTAATCTTTCACGCTTTTAGCAAAACTGAGCAGAGCCACCAAAAAGCAGAAGTATCTCATGGGCAGCAAAGGGAACTTAAGAGGAAAATGTGTTAGAATGATAATGGGAAGAAGTAGAGACACAGAAAAAGCGAACATTCCTGGCAGACTGCACACCACACTCAGGAAGGAACAGCAGTCCGCCTTCTGCCAACAGCCAGCTGTTAGCCTGATGCAGATCATTTAAACTTTCTGCGCACCATCAGATTTATTTATCTATAAAATGAGATAAAATTCATACTTTTTCAACAGTAGGTAATTTTCTCCCACCTCATGTAGCTACTCCGTATGGGAACAGCACACAAACTTAACTATCCTTCTCCATACTTTTTCTTTCAGCACCAAAGATCAAACCCAGGAGGTCACGCATTTTAGGCAAGAACTCTACCATTGAGCCACACCCTTCACGCCTCAACCCAAGTTTACTCTCCGCACCATCATGTTGCCAATTGCAAAACTATTTTGCACAGAAAACCTGTATAATACTATAATGTTTGTTATGCAGCTTCTACTATTTTATCTCTAACAACAATATTTATATATGTTCCATTACTAATATTCACTGTGTCAACTTCCGAAAGGCTTCCTTAAAGCTTGCCATATTGCATGGTTTATACTTATCGGGTTGTTTTCCTTTTTTTCCAACATAAATATTTACCAAGCCTCCATTTATCATGTTGATATTAGGGGCAAAATGCTGGACCTCTTTTCATGCTGTCCAGCCTGGTTCTTAAGCTTTATGTAAATAAACATAAAGATGAAATAGTTGCAGTAGTAAGGATAAACGGCTAC